CTTTAAAGTATTTTTTTTTTTTTTTTTTTTTTTTTTTTTTTTGTTCACTGGCATAAGGTTTAGATTTCAGATAATTAGAAACACACAAATTTACGAGCACTTTTAATTCCCAACATGCTGACAAAACTTTAAAGTATTGCCCCTTATAGAGAACATACAAATCAACCTTACGTAATTTTATTTCAAAGCATTGAAAAAAAAAATCGATCAAACTTTAAACTGATTGGTGTCATGCCACCAACGTGTGTTGTGGCTACATCGTTTTTGTCTTACTCTTCAAACACGGTTTTATTTGTTTTTAATGGTCCGTAACAACATCCATATAGATTAAAGCTGGGTGCCCACGATGAGGCTCTTCACACAGCATGTTTTAAGACATTGCTCAAGCTTGCGTCCACCATTAGAGTATTATTTATTTATTTATTTAGGCATTTTTATATAGCGCTTACCTTAAAGCTCTAAGCGCTTTACAATTATTAAAAACATGTAAACTAAGTAAAATAAAAATGAGACACTAGGATAGTCACTACTACACTACAGAAACAATTAAAATGGCTATAAAACGAGGACACTTTGACACGTTTTGGCCTATACTACAGGGACAGAAAATGAGGCAGGGCAAGGAGGGTGCATCACAGGTCATAGGCGGACCTAAACAGAAGGGTTTTAAGGGACTTTTTAAAAATGGACGAGGTTTCACAATGACGGATATGGAAGGGGAGCTGGTTCCAGAACGTGGGCGCATGGAAGTAGAAGTAGAGTAAGGCTGTAAACAAATAGGGATTTACTGTTCGTTGCAATACGAATATACGCCTTTGTTTATTCAACTGAATGCGAGTGGAATATTTTGTTTAAAGTTGTCTAAAAATGTTTAAAAACATATTTATTCTTTGGAATGTCAACGATAACTACAGTGTTCATTGTTGCATGCACAATTCTGCACCCCCCCCCCCCCACGACCCCCCAGTGCCCGGCTAAAAGTAAGAGCCCCTGGAGCTTCCAGGCAGTCGAAGTATCGGGGACACAAAATAAGATATTGATAAAATTAAATTCTATTTAATAGAATTTAAAATTATCGCATCATTAAAATGATCAGAGCAGAATACAAAGATCGCTCATCACTTATCCTTAAGAGACGCTGGACTCGTATGCAGCTGCCCACTTTGCCTTTAGCTTACTCTGGTACTGCTGCGCCCATTCGAAGGCCAACTAGTACGGCTCAGACCATTTATTTTAAAGTAACTCAACATAGGCCTGCACAGGTAGTGTCCGTTTAAAAAAAAAGTAATTGTTTCGCTAACAAATCGGAGTTCTGTCTCATCATTTTTATCTATATGGGCCCTTTGTAGTTTGTTGTTGGGGTTTGTTGTTTTTGTTTTTTTTTTTGTTTTTTTTTTTTTTTTTATTTTTTTTTTTTTTTTTTTTTTTTTTTTTTTTTTTTTTTTTTTTTTTTTTTTTTTTTTTTTTATTTTTTTTTTTTTTTTTTTTTTTTTTTTGGTTGTTCTTTTCAATATCGTTTTTACTTACTGCAAAAACTAAACTTCGAAATTCCTTTTGCTCTAAGCCTTGGTTGTTTCTTTAGGCCTCAGACAAAAACAAAAACAATTTTAAAAATAGATTGAAATGATTAGTGGTAAAAGGGGTAGGGGGCGCCAGTTGAAATCTTTGCTCTGGGCGCAGTTTTTCTTTAAAGCAACTACAACAGAAGATTATAAAAAGCTAAGAAGGTTGAAGTGGCCACGACGCGCCAATTATAAACTTACTCCATGGCATTCCTCGACCTTTCAGTGAAATTCATGTTTTTATTACACTGTGACTTTAATGAACGCAGTTACGAACCTCCTGTTGGCTTAAAAATACCTTCGGGGAAAAACCAGTGGCGAACGTAGGGGCTGTGCGACCGCTTCGGGCGGCACTATGAGTTTCATGTTACTTTTATAGGCTCTAAATGTTTGTGTATGTATTAGAGGGCGCACATTTGAGAGTTCGCCCCGCCCTGACAACTATATAGTTTAGTTTAGGTACACAACTGGGCAAAACTGTATAACATTTTCCTTTCATGATCATATTGAAGGCAGAAAAGTGCCTTTATAAATATACTACCGTATATCTTCATTCATATATATAGTCTCTTTTATGAGCTGCAGGTCGACAGTAATGCCCGGGCACATAGTCCTTACGTTCCAGCTTGCTAGTCGAAGAGCTGGGGTCTTCTTTTCTCTTGTTTTCTTATTTCTAGATGCATGTTTTTGTGGCCTACTTATATGGGGTTGTGATTCTTTGTTTATGTTTGTTTCAGGAGCAGAGAGCAAATCTTCGATATCAGATGATATTAGAAATAACAACGGCTGTGATCTCGTGACGCCATCAACAGTGTTCATCGTGTTACCTATAACTGTGCTATTTCAAACCTTTGGCTGTAGGTGATGCTAGCTGACAGCTCCAACTCTGAGGCGGTAGAGGCCAGCTCAGAATTTTATTCAGTTAAATAATCATCCATAATTATCACGGGCCATAGAAAAGAGGAACATTTAAAATATGATATAAAGTTATCGATACATTAAAGCATCCAATAAAGATCAACTATCTTGGTGTCTCCTTCATAACCTAAATCTGTGGGGGACACAATTCAGCAAGAGCGGCAATGCATCTAAATCTAACGCAAGAGCTTCTCGTTCCATTACCTCCCTTAGCATTTCTTTTCCCTAAAAACCATAATTAAAATGTAGTGTCTCCACAAACGCAAATTGTTACACGTGATAAAATGAATAATCTACAAAAATTCTAAGATAAATTCACTCTTTCAAATGCCTCAAAGCGTAAATAAAAAAAAAAACAGTTTGAAAACAAAATAAATAAATATATAAATGTGTAACAGTGCATTTTTTTCACCAGGTCACAATTTTAAAAACCAAAATTAAAATGTAGTTTCTCCAAAAACACAAATTGTTAAACGTGAAAAAATGAAAAATCTACAAAAATTCTAAAAAAAATTAACTCTTTAAAAAGCCAAAAAGCGAAAAAAAAAAAAAAAAAACAGTTTGAAAACAAAATAAATAAATATATAAATGTGTAACAGTGCATTTTTTTCACCAGGTCACAATTTCGTGGATTCTGTCCCTTAATATGTTATGATAAGATATCAAAATAAAAAGGTGAAAAATCGATGTGCAATTGTGGTCTGATGTGCAATACTTCTTCTTCTTCTATATTTTGAGGGCCCACGATTAATGTGTTGATCATTCTGGCTCCTCCGTTTGTAGAGAGGTTCACGGTGTAACTGGGCGTGGTTTTGAAGAGGAGTTGAAGTGAATAATTACACGTTTGGAAAAAGCTTTTAAAAAAAAATTAAAAGACTAATTGCCACTCTGACATTAGTTAGTTAGTCAAAGATATTTTAAAGCTTCCACTGTTAATACCGTCCATAAAGAAGTTCTAAAATAAATAAGTAACCCCTCTATTTTGACCAACGTGATTACTGCGGCACATGACGGTGGAAGTAAACACTGCAGGCCAACGTTTTAACATGTTCTGTTTGAAAGTCAAACTATTTTTTTATTTTAAAGTCAAGTGTCTCAAAACGGTAGGCCTAAATGTTATCATAGTATAAAATACCTACACTTTTAGAAAGAACACTTTGAGTACTCTGATGTCATACCGATGTTACTACCATTGTACCATACAAATTTTAAAAAGCTGCACTCCTGCCCAATTCAGAATGTGATCTCAATCACCTATGTTTAGACGGAAGTTCTATTACAAGTTACTTTTTTTTTTAATACTTAGTTTAGTTCTGAAACTGGGTCAAATATTTGGTATTCCTATCTTAGGTATCTTACAATTTAAAGTTAAGTGAAGCTCAAGAAGTTATTTAATGGTTAAAATATTGACAATTTAAATTGAAGTTTAGTATATTTTTACTATTTTTAAAATAAAAAATATTCTGCACATTTGATCTTGTTTACTTAAAGGTTTACTCAACTTAATGAATGGAATTTTTTTTCCATTTATCCTTCATTCTTAAGTTACCAGGTCAACAATCAACATACCTAGCTAGCAGTCAGTTTGTGGCAAAGAGGTATACTATTGTTACTAATTTATTTATCTTATTTTTGATAGCTGGGCTTATTCTAAAATATAATATGAATAATGTCTAAATCCAAGCATGAATCACCACCAGTTTTTGTGCAGTGCTATACAGGCTGCCGCTTCATTCCACATGAAAACAGTGTTGAAAGGGAGAGATTTTAATGTTCATGTTAACAGCTTAGAAAATGAATTTTGAAATGAATTTATATTACATGCTTTTACTGTTTGTTAAATTATTTAATTTTTTTTTTAATGTTGTGTGTGATGTTCAATCTCTTTGCTGAAAGAAAAATATCCATATTTGTGTTAAACTTAAACAGTGTGAGCAGTGCCCGTCAAAATTCAGTTTATATCTCCTGATCTATAATTCCATACATGAAAAATTTGAACATCTTGTGCTGATTAAGATTTGCATTTATTTGTTGTATAAACTCTTATTCAAAATTCCTTCAGTTCCTAGGATGATATCCAACGAACCATTGTGTATTTAAATATTTTAAAACTTAAAGCAATTTAAATATGCGTAGAAGATGAATCTATGAAACTATGAATCAACATTTATTTACATTAATATCTTCCCTTTTTTAATCAGTTGTATTTCCACTGCATATTTCTGTACAATATCACATGACCGGTGTTGGTAGTTGCATATAGTGATACTTTCTTTTATAATTTATATAGAATTTTATCATTGTTGTGCCTGAGTTTTAATATTCAAAATGGAACTGTACCAAATTTACTTTTATTTACATCTCCCAAGAATGAAATATTGCAGCTTTACCATGAATAAATCGGGAAATGTATGTACGTTTTTTTTTTTTTTTTTTTTTTTAATTTTGTTTTTTTTTTTTTTTTTTTTTTTTAAATTTTGATTTATGGATGTAGACAACCAAAATTGAAATAAATATGCCCTTGCTGCGATGACAGAATTGAATTATGTAGATTTTTACATTTATTAGCAGTTTGGCAAAACAGCCTTCAAACATAATGTACCCTCTGTATTCTTTTTTCAAATGTACAATATTACTAATTATTGAACTCTGTTGAAATTTTTGTTATGGTATACAATTAATTCAAGATAGAAAGGCTCAAAATAGTTGTAAGGGATTTAAGAACTAGACTATGTGTAACATTAATTACGGTATTTCATAATGTATATATAAACATTCCTTCATATACATGGATCATCTGACAGAGGTCAACTTGCATTCATTCACATTTGTAATGACTTAATAAAATTCTTGAACGTACTTCAACCCTTAATTTAAAAAGAAAGCTTTTAAAGCTTACATAAATTTATACAACAACAGGGACAGTTAACCCTTATTGATCCCTGCTGGTACCATAAGATTATTTTACTCCATTTTACTTTTATTTTATGATTATGGAACCAAAAACTTTTTTATGCATACCGACTTAGAGAAAAATGTCAAAAGTCAAAGCTAAAACTAATCTGGCAAATAAATTACGCAGTAGAACAAGATTGCGTATATCTGGAATGTAAATGGCAATATTTGAATTATGTAACATTTTACTTATAAGAACAAATATTTTCCAAATGTGTGCTAACATCAAAAAGTTTAACTAATCTGTAAAATGTCTTTGACTTTACTTTGTGTGAATGTGTATGAATTATCTAAGAGGAAACAATGAATGATTTTAAAACAAATGTTTAAAAAATGAATTCCATTTTATTGGTTTCAAGTTACACCCTTACATATTAGTTTAAAGACTTACCATTATGGTTTTAGTCTCTCCAAAATATTACAAGGCATTGCAATTTATGTAATATAACACTTAATGTCATTCAATGGATAAATAAATTTAAGTCAAATTATTCCTTTCAAGTGCACTATGGTATTACTATAGTACACTGTCTTTAAGTATGATAAGACTATTAGTAAGCATTTTTTAACCATAAAGAATTAAATGTTGGCATTATTGTGAATTCTTATATTTAAAAATTGACCAATTTACATTTCATTGCTTTTAACTATTTTAACAATGCAGGTTAAAAAACTTATATTTTAAGATTTTATAATTATAATAAATATAAAATCATACTTGCCATTCAGTTATGTATATTACATTTACCCTACTCTAGTAAAACAACTTTTCTTTTTGTTTGTTAACTTTGGAGGGATTTTTTTCTTTTGATGATTCATTAATTAAAAAGTGTTTTGTTTAAAAATGATAATTTGTTCTGTACTTTTTTGTGGTCTTTAATTGTGTGAAATGTATTTAAAATTAACCTGTTGTCAGATTAAGTGTTAATTCTGGTGCAAAATGTTGTGCTTGTAAAACATCTCCAGGTTGCATGAGCTCATTTAGTCATGAATAATTATGCAGTACAAGGGCAATGTTGTTTTTTTTTAAATTTTTATTTTAAGGCAGTACATGGTTTTCATGTATAAGTTATAGATCACTGGTCTGCAACATTATACACAAAACAAATATGCCAAAGATGAAAAGATTTCACACCAGGATGCCTGACGTCAGTAGTAAGTTCTTTGACTGAGTCTGTACTAGTAAGTTTGATTTCTCACTTTCCACAATACAATATTTTTCACAGTTAAAAAATGTATAAAAGGCAAAACATTTTCACATAACACTTTTGGAAATCTCTGCTTTTTCAGAAAGTAAACATAAATGCAAACTGCAATGGCTAGAAAAACTATAAGTTATAATCTTTTTTATATAGCAGGTACATTCTAGTTACATTTATTTTTATAAATACATATTTTCTAATCTATAAGCACCAGATCAACTAAATAGGAAGTATTTTGATACCAAATACTTTGATATAAATAAATGGATGAACAAAACAAAAAATCTGAAAATGTTAAGTGATTCCAATTATAATAATTTGAAGTTGTTTGAATTCTTCAAGTAGAAATAGCCATTGAGGCAACTGAGGTAAATATGAGGGTAAGCTCACTCAGCACTGAAACAGATAACCATTCAAAACTAACAGAGTGGAGTTAACATCACAGTAGTTTATTACTGGTGGGAACAAATTTTCAGCTAGACTTACATGTCAACAACTTTATTCATTTAGTTTTAAAAGGGAGATTTGGCAAAAACATAAAGAAAGAAGAGTGACACCAATCAAATGAGATAAAATTAAAACGGGTTCTGAGCTAATTTGAAACATAACACAAATTTCTTTACAAAAGTTGTGTTCGACAAGATGGAAATCATAATTTTAACTATAGCCATGTAACATGCTGTTATTTTTGCCTAAAAGTTTTAACAGTGTTTAATCAAGTAAATGGCATTTTTTTAAAAATAATATCAAAAGATTTGTTCAAGGGTGTTTTGTCTTTTATAGTGAATGAAAAAAGCATCCTGAGTAATTACGTGGTAAATAAAATTAAACTTTTTCCAATTCTGTCTTAACAATCTAGGAGAAGGAAGAATAATTTAAACCAACTATGTTATAGTCACTAACAACTCATTTATTACTGATCACAAAAAACAATTTATCAATCAAATCTTAAGTTGCTCCACACAGTTTACATACCAAATTAAAAGCCCTCACAACTGAATAACTAACTGATAATTACTTAACAGCATGCTATTATTTCTATTACACTGACAAGTATTCCAAACAAATAAAAAAAAAAAAAGATAAAGTATTGTGTATAATTCTGCAGACAACTCTCAAAGAATTTCAGATGATCTATTAAAGCAGTGGTCGGCGAACTGGAGTAAATTACCCCAATGGGATAAAAATGGAAATCTTGGGGGTAATGAGGGCTCAATAGACATAAATAAAATCAATTTAAAGAGTTTTTATTTTTACAAAAAACTTTTTTCTGGCAACACTGCATCTGGCCAAAGTAATTTAGAAACACAACCAACTTGTGGTCACAAGTGGCTTGGCAGCTAGCATAAGCTCACCTCTTGGGTTGTATAAGCTCACCTCTTGGGTTGTATAAGTCATTTTTAGCCTAGTCGCAAATTTTGTGTCTTATGCTCAGTGGCGTCACTCGAGTTGGTATCATCCCATTCAGACTTTTCAAACCTCTTCTCTGAATTCGGCCTGCTCTGGTGTCACTCTGCTCTGGTGGTATCCTACTATGGTAACAGGTGGAACCCTGTAGGGTTCCAGGGTACAATCCACACCCCCAAAACCCCAGTAATGCTACTGCTTATGCTCTAAAATGAAATTTATTTTTTACTCATTATATTTATAATTGTATTTTCCATATGCATGAATTCAAGTTAAGATACCTTTTGTATTTAATAAGCTATGATTTTTCTTCCTTACAAATCGAGGGTAATGTCGCCATCAAAAAATATATATTGGGATAATGACTTAAAAAGTTCGCCGACACTGTATTGAACCCATTTCCCATTTACACACATGACAGAATCCTGAAAAACACTAATAAACATCAAAGGCTGCAGAACAGTAGTTCAGGTGATAGAGCTGACTATTCATATCACATATGCTCTACTATTCTAAAAATACAATTATGAAATGGTACCGTATAATGCTTCTCAAAATGTATTTGCTAATCCTGAGGCTGAAGCATATGCTGTTAGTGCATATGCACTTTGTTTGGTTTCCAGGAGCAATTTCGCTTCATTTATCCAATCACTTGCAGCCCTGCGTGGTTCTCCTGTTAGATGACTCATGAACCTTAATGCAATATTAATATTTCCTCTCTCCATCCAGTATTGTGCGTAAGCTAAGATAGCAAAATTGTCCAAGGAGTTTAAATCTATTTCATCGTACTCTGATACTGCAACTATGTTGTCAAAAACCACCATGGAGTGCAAGTAGGAAATAAGGTATTTATAGAGAGAGGTATTGGGTTCTTTGATGAGCCCCAACCTGCGGCATATTTTGGATACCCTGAAAAAGCGGTGTTTTAGCTGATCTTCAGTACTCACACCTCTATCCAAAACTTTTCTGGGTATGCTGTTGGCCACAGTCTCAACAAATGGGTGCTGAAAAAACATGTTAATTCAATAGTTAAATTCTCTTGAGGAATAGCCGCAAAAATCTTTCAAAAGAACTAATTTTATCCTATTTTGTACTTAGGACAGAAACAAACATAAAAATCTAGCCAAAACTAGTACAACACATAACAAAATATAAATAAATGCTTAGTTTATTAAATTTAGAGGTGAGCAGCTGATAAATGTACACAATTCTATTGCAGACCTGGTTACCCTCAAACTCCTAAAACTATACAAAAATCGTCTCAAAATCGTTCAATAATTTTTCTTAATAATTAAATAAAGATAGCCTCCTATGTCCATAGGATCAAGTTAAGCTGATGACAAAAAAAGATTTCCAAAAGTAGTGGCTGACTGACATTTGTTTATATTGCAATCTGCTGTCACTTAGTTTTGCAGACATATATCTGCTATAGTTATCAAATAATATATGGGTGAATTTGCAGATCAAATTATCATAGTCGGTCTCTGGTAAAAATAAATCCATCCATCCCTGTGGCACTATAGCCCATGTAGGCTTTGGCCTGCCTCATTATTTCCTTCCACTCAGACCTAACTATTGCTTTTCTTTTCCATAATTTGTTGTAGATCTTTTTCCATATCATCCATCTACCTAAGCGTAGGTCTGCCTTTGAGCCGTTGTCCTCTGGGGTTTTGGTGATGCACCCTCTTCACTCCTCTGTCATTTGGCATTCGCTCAAAGTGTACTGCCCAGCGTAGCCTACCCTTTTTTATTTCTGTTAATATCGTGGGATCTTGATATAGACTGTACAGTTCATGGTTGGTATGTATTCTTCATCCATTTTCATCCTTTGTTGCCCCATATATTTTCCCAAGGACTTTTCTCTCCCATGTGTTTAATAGGTTTCTGCCGTTTTTATTAGGGTCCCAAGTTTCACTTACGTACATTACCACCTACTGATTAGTTTTATAAATAGTTTTCTTTGTTTCTCTTGTAATGTTTTTACTTTTGAGTATTTTCTGACTACTGAAGTATGCCCTGTTTCCGGCATGACATCCAAAAAGCATTGAGTCAAAATGGACCCAGGCACACAGCGCCGCCATTCACAACCGGGTACCATTAGACTCAATGCTATTCGGATGTCATTTGTGGTAGTTTATTTAATTAAACTGAAGAAGTAGGTTTCCAAACATATAGTCGATTCAATTATCTTTCGTTTGATACCTCATTTTGTCTTACAAACCCAACAATAATATTTTAAATAGTTTTTTAATCCCAACCTGTCACTTCTGGTACCCGGGTACAAATAGTCGCAGCCTTTACAAAATCTAACAAGTAATTGAGATTTATTTGTAAGGGAAAAGCTTTTGTTTTTTGTTTTTTTTTTAAATAAACATCAATAGCCATTAAACTTATTTCTCATTAACGTAATATAGTCTAACTACCACAAGCTGTAAACTGGGGAAAGGAAGAGGAGTGTTGGAACCAAATGCTATTTTGTGCGTTCTAAAAATATATATGAAAGCCCTCCCAGGTCCTATAAAATATGTCGAAATCTAAAGTTGCTGTGCAGAATAGTTAAGAATGCATTGTAAAAAAATGTTTCTTCTGTTTTTGCAAATGCTGTGGATCAGCTGAACAAACTATTTATTTCACAAAATTATGTCATGCAGTAATGAAGCAAACAAAAACGAGTAGTGACTTAAGTTTCACTAGGGCGACTACAGCAAATGTTACTGTTACTAGCGTGTTCATTGTGAAAACAAAAAGCAACAATATGACCAACATCACCATCATTACGAAAAAGAGTCTGCGTTACTTTTATATTCTTAAATATTTAGACGCACACATCCCTCCCCCACGGTTCAACCCAAAATGTATTTTATTATTTTTTTAATCGGAAAAACTACCAGTAAATATATTTGTTCAACCCAGTCTCTTAAAATCATAGTACTGACAGGCTTTGGTGTACAATCTTAAAAGACATCTCAAAAGCATACAGCATAAAGCATAAAGTAAACAGCTCTGTTATTGCATAAATAGGTCAAGACAATAAAATACCTTTTGTGATGAAGATAAAATAGCTTCAACTCTTGCCCTCAGCGGCACATGCTGCTCTTGGCTACTATTTTCATCACCATAATTTATGGCAGAAGTCAAGGATATACAAGCAAGCCACAGATTTTGAGCAGAACGAGCCAATTTTTCACCAGCTGCACGAGCTAAAGAGATATTAACAAAAAGTAGTCATATGTCAACTGTCAGAAATGTCTAGTACTTAAAAATAGCTAATTTCTTCTCAAATCATGTATATGTGAATGTTAGTTCATATTTAGTCATCAATGTATACCAGTAATATTTTTATTTTAAAATGATTTTATCAAAATCATTGTAGCGAGTCAGGAACTTAAATATACTTTTTAAATACTTTCATAACAAAAAAACAAACATCTGTGATATAAATAGTTTTACCAGAAGCTAATAAACCTCATTATTGTACTCCAACAAGTCCAGACCTGTATCATTTGATTTGGTTTATCAAGACGCTGAATTCAAATGCGATTTTTTTTTAACATAGAGAGAGAGGAGACTTACACTGAAATATTATTTGATGTGTCCTTATAAGACGATATAAAATTCTTAACTAAAATTTATGATAAATAATAATTCCTAATAATTTTTTAATTATTGGTAGGCAGATTATGTCAGATTATGGGTAAATACTAACAGCTGGCTGGTATGCATTTAACACAACCTACCATCGACAGCAGCCTCAATACCCTTAAGCCTTGAAATCCAACTTGCAACTTCTGACTGGAATTTTTCCCGTTCTTCTAACAACTTGGCATTCAGCTCTCTGTTGAATTCTTTACCCAGTTGCTGCTGTTGTATGGTCAGCACATCCTTGAGATGGTCACTGTGGGCGGCAGCCTGGCGAGACAGCTGTTTCCGTACCTCTGTTTCTATTTTCATCAAGAATTCCAGTTCCTGCCAAGTCACCATTCAGATTTTTTTAGATTGCATCACAAATAATAATTATCTAGGTATGTATGTACTGCTGTAACACTGTGTTCAAATAGGCCCGCAAAATAAAATTCCCAGATGTTAGTGCTTTACTTGGGATTCTTATGAAGTGCCTTATGTGAATGCATGTTTTGTCAAGTAACTTTAGTAGATGGTAAGTTCAAGCATTTCCGCCACCATTGTTTGGCGGGTTATTCCTAATTTTATAATAAAATCCTTTCCAGATTTTGGTGTGTAATTTTAAAAAGTGTTTTCCTTAAACTATTGAAAAATATATTATTTCTAAAGCATATTTGTTTACCGATAATTTCCATGTTATGATCATATACAATGAAATCCTGAATGGGCTAGCATTTAAGTCAAATGAGCATCTCATGAAATGCCATAAAACTTCCTATCAGCCATTTATCTCATATAAAACTGTAAATTGTTTTATAGCCTTCAACAAATCAAATACATTTCTTTCCTCTTTCCAACCACCTATTCAAGTGTTCACTTGCACAATTTTTTTTTAAGTGCCTCTAAGTGTTTACTTAAACATACCATTTTTTGTTTTTCTACATCAAATTCTTCCTGCAAACGCGAGCGTTCTTCGGCCACAGCAGAATCAGTAATATGCAAATCCTCTTGACGCTGGGCCTCAAGCGCTACAGATAGTCTTTGTCTCTCCATAGCTAACTGCTCAGCTATTTGCCTCTGCAGTTGCTCAATTCTACGATGTGCATGGGCAATAAGGGCATTTAATTCGTCTTCAGTTAATTTTTTACCTGTATAAAAAAGATTAAGTATAGATGTGAGATAGAAAATTTTGCTACATCCTAACACCTAGCCGCTAATGTTCCACATGTATGAACTGATTAACTTAAAGTGGACACTTGCCAGCATTTCAAAAAAGCTCATTAACAAACAAGTCTGGTTGATGAGCATGAAGAATTGGCAACTGGACATTTAAATGACAAAAGTTTATTTGTGCTCATCTTTAGCACAAAAAAATGGAAAACTACCATTTATTAACCAATTACATATTGTCCTCGGCATAAATTTTTCTTTAGCTTTTGCTATAGAGACTGTTAGAAAATGTATACATTTATCTTTGATCTATCTATGTATTAAGACAAAGACGTTTAGACAAATTTAATTAAAAAAAACAAAAAAATTCAATGATTTATACCATATTTTATTTATTCATTATTTAGAAACTTTCATTTCCAAAAGCATCCAACACAGCATCATTCAACTAGTATAATTTATTTTTACAATTTGTCATAAAAAGGAAGTATAATGTAAAAGTAATCATTCTAACAGATATAGTCAGCTAAAATATAATTTCTGTGTACATGGAAAAATGTTGATGTACAATAAGAGACAACAGAAATGTGATTTATTTATTTAATTTTTAGCAATATGAAATGAACTTAAAAATCCAGAGAGCATCTTACCAGTGCCAATTTTAACATCTGGCATAAGGCTCTCAATTTCCTTTTGAAACTGTTTTCTGCCTTTATCAACCAATTCTTTATATTTCTGCATGACATTGGCTTCGGCCTCTGCCTGTCGCACCTGGCAAATATAAAAAAAAGCCCTTAAAATAACCTTTAGTAGGGATTAAGTGGTCATAAACAGTTTTTTTCAAATTTATTATAGCAAAGGTTTAATTATTTTTTTTAAATTTTGAGCTCAGAATGAATCATGAACATAGAAGTGCAGAATTATACACATTTTAAATTTTAAAATGAATTTCTTGTTTAAAGTTAACCAAAAAAAGCATTAAAAACAAAATTTTATGTGCAACACTGGCAGTAGAGCTTAATATTAAAACTAAAAACCGTGACCCTAAATATTCTAATGACTATATTTGTTACCTTTAAATTACATAAACTGTAAAAATAATAACCTGAGTATTAGCACTGTTCAAGTCTTTCAGAAGGTCATTGACTTTCTTGCTTGCAGGCAAGATTGCTGGATTCTGTTTGGTCACGTTATTAGTTTTGCTCTCAGTTATAACATCTCTTAGTTTTTCTAAGCTTCGTCTGAAAATAATGAAGTAGTTAATATTTATAGAAGTAAGACAAAGATCATGAAGATAAAAACAACTACTCAAGAATACATCCCCTTGGCATGGGAAGAGGTGGAGGCCTTCATCTCCTTGGACAGCATCATTAACATGATTGGGGGATCATAAGCAGATGTCAGGGTTCAAATTGGAAAGGCTAGGTAACCAATTGTGCTGTTAAAGAAAATATGGGAATAAAAGGAGCTGACTCTGCAAACTTAAGTTAGAATTTTCAACACAAATTTCAAATCAGTCCTACTCTTTGGAGCCAAAACTTGGAGATCGGCATTTTGCAGAAAGTAAAGACTCTACTAACGCATTAGAAAAATTCTGGACATAAAAAGACCAATAGGGCACACTCTTCAGACAACGTCACCAGATAACCCCTAACATGGAACCCACAGGGATAAAAGAAGAGAGGAAGGCCAAAGAAAACATGGGGAGGTGAGTTAGAGGCAGACAAACTAAGAATTAATACAACTGGATTCAACTGGAAAGTAAACCACAGGAAAAAGATGAATGGAAAACTCTTGTACAGATACGAATAAATTTAAGCAAGAATATTCTCTTTGTATTCACAGATTCCTAAAACAAAAATTATAAAGGGTATTCGGGGAAAAAAAAATGGAAGCCATTGTTTATACTAATAATCTTACTTTGACTCCAATGCTAATTCATTAGCTCTTAACATGGCACGTTCCCTCTCCTTGTGAGATATAGCTACAGCCTCCCATTGTGCATCCTTTTGCAATATCTGTAACAAAATTAAGAAATTAAAAATGAAACAAGAAAAAATGTAAATGACACAAGATGAAAGACAAATATTTGACTGACATTCTTGGAAGATAAATTAATATTATCACAAATTATAAATTAAATAAAACATCCACTACAATATCTAAATCTGAAGATTTTAAAATCGAAGTGGCTATTTGGACCCGGGTCCGAGAAGTTAGAGGTTGGGATTAAAATTTTTAAAAATAATATTATTGTTAGGTTATAAGACAAAATTTGGTATCAAATAAAAGATAATTTAATGGACTATATGTTTGTAAACTTAATTCTTCAGTTTAACTAAAATAAACTACCATAAATGACATCTGAATAGCATTGAGTCTAAAGGGACCCGGGTCAATTTTGCCTAAATGCTTTTTAAATGTCATTTGTGGTAGTTTATTTTAGTTAAACTTAAGAAGTAAGTTTACAAACATATAGTCCATTCAATTATCTTTCCTTTGATACCAAATTTCGTCTTACAAACCCTGCAATAATTTTTAAATATTTTTTAATAAACCCAAACTCTCACTTCTCGGACCGGGTCCGAATAGCCGCATCCTTTTAAAATACCGGTAATGTCATTTCAAAAACTTTAAAATAAAGTTCAAACAACTTACATCTGATGAGTCATCCATTGCTTGCTTTAGTAGCTTGGTGTGACTACGAATAGAAGCAGCTAGGTCTCTCTGAGCCTGAATTGCTTCCTCTGTTAAATTCTGACTACTTGTCATCAGCTTGTGAATAACTACCTCCAGTGCTGTGCAATTTATGAAGTAAAATAAACTTTATAATATATAGAAATGCGTTACATAGATATATCCAAGTTATTAGTAGAGAATAAGACCCTTTAATATCTTTTAAGCACACAAAAAACTACAAAGTAAGGAGAACTGACAAATGTTGCATGATCGCAAACCTCAAGTACACAGATGCAAGCTCCTATAATCTTTTAATGGAAAACTAGAATCCTAAACATATGTGTGAAAGAATTAAGTAATAGAAGTACACCCATTTTAATATTTGGCATTCTATTTACAAGGGAATAGAAAAAATTTATAAGCCCTTTGCAAACAAAAAAACATGTAAGATTTGGTGTCAAGTGTTCTTAATTTTATGCCGGTATTCTTTTTGTTAGCCACGAATGATCTGTGGGCTTTGTGATTTTGGTCTCTAAGGGACCCCAGGGTTTTTACCATAATTGGATTAGAAAGATCTTAGATTTTATCAGGTTCAAGGAGATCCCGACATCAGTCATAATGAGAAAAATCAAATTCAAGAATGACAATATGGAAAATGGGGATTGATAGTCCACAGTATAAGGTAACCAAGATCAAATATTACCAGTTGGGCCCAAGGGCCACAGAAATAGGTGACCTATCACTTTAACACCTTGCAACCAGATGAAGATAAAGAATGACAGACAATTGTAGAATTCTGGAATCAGCTGAAAAAGAGTGTCCCAAGACAGATGGAGATGAAGATATTGTTACACCACTCGGAATTACATAGGCTAAGAAAAATTGGCAATGGATTGATAAGGGAACAAAATGTGTGGAAAATTTAAAATTTCAAGATATAAATCTTTTTGCAAAAATCATTTTGCTCTTCAATTACTATTTCTATAAACTTAAAATGATGTGTTATAATACTTTCAAATTGTTATTTATTTTGTTGTGTTACCTGCATTGTCTGCTTTTTCATCATCTTCTCTCTTCCTGATATGTGAATCTATGACCCTTGGATCAATCTTGCCATCTATCTTTTCTGAAATATCCAGACGAAAAAGTAAAAAAAAATGAATAGTGTCTATTCTTCCTGATATGAATAGGTAAAATATTCAAGAGCATGACAAAACAAAAGCTATTTTTCAGTAAAATTTTAATTATCAGTATAGCAAAAGCTGCAACAATTCCTCTCTACCTTCTTTCTTTATCATGTCTTTTGCAAGAGCAGTTCCTAGATTTCCTTCAGTATTGGGAGCATCTAATGAAATAAAGATTAACCAGTAAACAATTATTTAATTCAAGTAATTTCTTTTTAAAATAGACAATAAATTAGTCTTTTCTTTTAAATGTTGAATGATGGGCTTGAGAAATCTGTACTTTATTGGAGCATATGATAAGATATACAAAAATGACATAAAAGAGATCAATACATGTAGTATAATTGGCATTAAAAATAGCTTTGATGTAATTTTTAAAATTTGAATAATCATTTCAATAGGAACAGAAGAAATTTGCAAAAGTGTGGTCAAGAAATACAAACAACATAAAATATAGCAACAAACAAAAAATAACTCAGAAAATGTAACAGGAACATTCAAATGGGAGACCTGGATCATTTTCACTTAACAAATCTTCAACTCGCTGTACTTGAAGAGTCTGATAGGCCTGATTCTGAACCGGAATTACCCCTGCAGATAATCTAAATATTAGTATTTGGTTCATGAGGCATTGATTAGAAAAAAAAGCAAATTTAAGAACATGTTTAAGGGATTCAATGTAATTATAACACCAATTTTTTAAAACACATTTAAATGCATGAGTTTACCAGTAAACTCTTGGAGGGGATTGCTTCTACTTTGAATAATTTCTTCTGTTAGTTCTTTTTCTGGATCTGAAGAATTATTACATTTTTTTAAAATATCTAACACACACAAAAAACTGTGCAATAATTAAATGCGGAAATATTGTTAATAGATGTGTTAATAAATGGATTTTAATAACAAATTAGCAACAATGGTTAATGAATTCAGTTATTTTTCAATACAGGGAAAATATATTTACTTGAATCAAAACATATTAACGTAGTGAACACAATTTTTTTTATTTGCCGATACCTTTCATATCTTCAAAGGGATTGGGTTTCTCTGTTTGCACTGAAAAGGTAGTATAAAAGTAAACAAACATGATCTTCAAGGTTTTGTTGAGCAAGATGACAACTTAAATTGTTGTTAATTGTTATTGTGTGGATGCATGAACAGATTTTTCAAAATACTATTCATTCATTGTTACTGACACATTTTTAACAATTTCAAGTTCACCATTGATTTATGACATATATTAAGCTTTAGAAAAAATATTACTTTTAAACAGTTATAAAAAAATACACTGAGTGAAGGAATAATACGACTACTTTCATTGAATATTATAATGCAATCAAATAAAAAGGGTTATGAGCTTTTTAAATTGAAATCATGAAACAATAATAATTTTATTTTAAAATAATTTTTTAGAGATATTAAGAAAATTGTTAACACTGATGCGGCAAGAATTATTAATTGTTGAAGAAATTATTTTAAAAAAGTGGAGTTCTTTTTAAAATAAGTGATTAGAATGTTTTGCGTGAAATTCTTAATTTATAGAATCTAGTTTTAACCCCTTCACTAGTGAATTTTTTTCTTTTTAAGTATTTTAATTCAATCAATTAGTTTCTAAACTAAGAAACATTTCATTTGAACTTGAATATTTCATACCAAGATTAGTTACTTCTTTATTTTCAAGAACTTTATCTCTGAAACTGTCACTGATATCATCATTGTCTTCTTCTTCATCGTCACTATCAACTGATTCATTGTCACTGCCAACTCCTTTAAAAACAGATAAGCTCAACAATTTTGATAATAAAGGGGAACTGAGTCTTTGGAATAAAATAAGAACTGAAGAGTTACTCAGCAAGTTCAAAAAAACATTATATCCATGGTAAAATATGTAATAGTGCTCTTCTTTGCCTGTTCCAATGTAGTACTTTCATCTCCTATTAATAATCCAACCATAATGGAATGACACGCAAATCAGTCATCATTTAGGAAAAAAAGTTATTATTTGAAAAAGAGTACAAGGATCAATAGGGAATATATATATCAATATATAAGTAGCTAAAATCAATATAATGGTATTCAATGTTCATATCTTTTACCATGAACAATTTGAAATCTATGTACATTTCATTCTAAAAAACATTAGAAATTCATGCATATAAATCTAATAAGACTCCAATGGTTATTTTAGACTCCAAAAGATTTTTTTTTTTCTCAATGATAAAAAAGGGAATATCGTTTTTCTAAATAGTACTTAATGAAGAATGTGGATTTTTTTTTATTTTAATGACTCCAAAAAATAAAATAATATGGCAAAATTTCATAATGTACAAATACAATTGGGGAGCAAGTCAAAACTTATTATGAACTAATGAATGGTAACGGAATTACTGCTTTGACAATTATGATACCTTTTTTATTAATTTCGTTATTTTCATCATTTGAGTCTTGTTCTGTGATACTGTCTCTCTTAGCTTTACCAAGTGAAGGGGGAATGTAAGAGGCGTAAAGTTCAGGATTTAGTTTTGAATTATATTTTTTCTTTCGTATGGGATGCTGCTTCGGTTTATCACTGTTTATGTCTAATTCAGTGGTCGTAGTGCATACTGCAGTATAGGGAACACCAAAGTAATTTGCTGAAAGAAAATCAAATTAAATTAAGAATCATTGAGACAAACTCCAATACTGCCAGATCCACTGTGACATCTGTCCTGTAGTTTATTTCAAATAATATCAAGTGAGTTTATCATTGAAAACAGAAAGTATTCGATGAGTTTTAAATCCATATTTATAATGCATAAGAAGTTATATTTGTTAAAAATAATAAATATTGCAAAAATTTCTATACTGTAAATGGCTGGTGTGTATTAATCAAACAGAAAATAAATTCAATGATGAAGGCACACTCAAATATGAAACAAAAAAGGCTTTCTGCTAATTATTTTTGTGTCTCTCAAATAGAAGATATTGGGAATATATTTAAAGACTAACTTAAACACAACACCCAAAATGTCAAGGCTTTCAGAAAAATGGAACACTAGTAAAGCTTTATGAAGTTTGTTTTGTTGTATTTTTATGATACCCACTCAAATGATAATTATGTTATTCCATTTGTGCACAACCAGATGTACACTTTGTTCCTAACTAATACCTTATCATGACTAATTAGTTCCTAAGAGAAAATTCTTCTTTATTGAAATAGACAAAAGTTTTAGTCTCCTTTCATTATCCAGGTACGAAGCAATATAGTTTTAACTAGCAGAGGCGCCACCTTCAGGGGTATTTACTCTCACTGGGCGTCAAGTTGGCACCATAAAAACGTTTGAGAGCAGTCTTGGAAAATAAACATCCAGGTCCATATCACTTTTGTAAGAGCTCTGTGCAGGGCCGCAATGTAGTGTGTCCATCTTCTGACTAATGATGACTAAGGTGTGTCTAAGTGAATTCCTGACAGAAAACAAACCACACTCTCAATCTCATTAAACCTTTTCACATCCCAAACACTTTCCTTGGACCACAAGGGTCTCTGGATCCAGGCAATTCCCATGGCCTAAAATGCTTTTATTCCACCCTACACAATCTCAGGAACACATCAATCAGAAACATTTCACAACATCCTTCATTATTACCGACATCTCAATGCATATGACAAACAAAATTGCATTACCGGTACTACAATAAGGATGCAGCTTTCTATTAAAAAGACAGATGTTGAATTTATTGATATTGATATAAAAAAGTGACAGAAGGTTTTTTAATGTTTCAACAAAACTCTAAATCAGGCTCCAAAAATAGTACAAGTACTGCGGTTTTTTAAAGGTAACAGTGGTCATTGTGAGGGCAGTGAACTTGTGTAAAAAGTACCAAGTTCAACTTCAGATTTTTTATTCCACTTTAATTCCATAAATACAATCTCTTAATCTTGATATTTACATTTCATGTAATGGAGTCATTTAAAAAAATAATAGTAAAAGCATATTTATAAAAACCCTTGCCATTTAATATAATTTTTTTTTATAAATTGGGTTTTAAGTTGGAGCTATTTTCCTGAGCTTTCATAGATTGGAAGGGAAGCAAGAGTAGGTGAAGTAGGAGAGTGTTAAGTCAAATAGTTGCATTCCCACTTAACATTAATATCAGTACTGATACCAAATAAACTTTAAAAATTATACTTACAGTGCCTTAGTAATTGGCATTTAAATTCCCTCAAAGTAACTGCAACATTTATTTTTCTCAACAATGTGTCCATGGTGAAAAAAATTCTTAAATAATAGCTAATTAAGAGTAAGAACATAATGAAAGTTATGCTATAATTTACTATAAATACCAACAAATAAAATAATTCTGTACACAAAAACAATCCCTTCAAAGGAGTTAAAAGAGGTTAATTAAGTATAAATAAACAAAAAAGAAGAAAACACAAAAATGACTAAATCATGATGCAACCCACTAATTTGAATCTTTGTCTCATTCAAAAAAAATGTGTGTTATTTTGTAAAAAATTAATAAGTTATTGTTTCTGAACACTTAATTAAACATTGAAACAAATACCTGTGTTCTGAGGAACAATCTGTGGAACTTTCTCTTGATTCTGTGAAAAATTAACTATTTGTTACATAAAGTTGACAATATTTAGATGAATATTTTTTTAGGAAAGTTGAAACTATTAAAATAAGTTATCCATTTCAGCTCGCTTCATTTGAACTTTTACCAAGGAACAATAATTAAAATAAATCACTTTCAGATACAGTTTTCCCCTAAATCTTGAAAAAAGACCCAAAAATGTTTTATATTTAAATTTTAATAAATATTGTTCTCACAGAATTTTCATGTTTAAATTATGCATTATTACGAGCAAATTTCCTTTTGAAAAACATAGACAACTTACATTTAGTATTGTGGGTATTGTGGGTATTGAGGGCTTTTCAAGACTTTTTGAGGTGTCTGGTTTTGCCTTTCTGAGAGATAAAAATAAAACTTTTTAGCATCTGGACATATAATATTTTATATATATATATACCAACATAATACATTATTAATTTATATAAACCGATCAATTGCATGTACACAACTAAGATTTAATCTTGATTTATTTTTTTTAATATATGGTCAAAAAAGGTACGTACTTCTGAAACTGACATTAGGAACAAATTAAGTAAATTTTAAATACCTGTCTATAACAGGTTCAATGTTGCTTTCAGGTAGTATATTTCCTAGCAACTCTTTTGCATAAGGTATGTTGGCTTCTAGCTGTTTACGAAAATCATGATCATACCAAGCATAACCCAGAAGGCTACCAGCAGCAACAGGTAGCCCAAATCCAAAAAATTTAAAGATTCTAAACCCTCCTCCCCTGTGGAAAAAAAAGGTATTGTGACATAAAACATGGAAGTCAAGATAAAAATAAATAATAAGGAAGTTATTTCCATCCAACAATAACGAATTATAATTATTTTTATAACCACAATTATAGTAAAAACCATATTCCTTAAATGTCTTTTATTTAGATCAGCATCAGGCAACCCTTTCACCAATAGACACATGGTTAGTGAAATACTGACAAAAGTATTTTGACAAAAAATGTTTGTTTTTATAAAAACTAACTATAAAATCTTGATAAACAAAGATTTAAAAAATGTTATGGTCCTTAAATTAAAAAATATAAAAACATTAGAATTTAGAAGTTAATTACTATTAGCTGATTTCAACAAGTACTAATAGTAATAGGCATTTCAGTTCTTCGGTTATCTGTTTCACTTTGATTTTAAAAATTCAATCAAATAAAAATCTTCAACCATTTCTCATTAGATGAATGTAGTTTGGGCATAACAAGTTGGTTCTTTAAATTCTCAAGATGGGCATTGAGATCTGTAATTTAGCCTCGAAATCTGCAGCTTGTTGAGCAATGTATTGCATTACATTTTGGTTGAAAAATGATGACAGAGTATTATTTAAATGATGTGTATTTAATATGGTAATAAGGGGGGAGACTGCAATCAGGTTAGCAGAATATAAAATGAGTAAAACTGAGTCGGGTTAAACCTGAAAAAAAGGAACGCAACAGGTTTACTCTTTGTAGTAATTTAATTTCTTGTTATTTATATAGCAGTAGAAAATGTTACTCTTCTTTACGCACAATTTTGACTTCTTTAGGAAAATAGATTACCCACCACTGGTTAACATGTAAGTAAAAGGAAAGATTATTTTAACCAAAACTAAAACATTATTTACTAGACTGATAAAGCTCATAAATGGATTAATACTACTTAAGTTCTTACATTATTACAGCTTTGTGCTTAATTTAATAATATTTAGGCAGATAAATATTTAGATAATTCAAAAATTAAAAATAAATTATTGCTACAACAGATCTATTATTTAATACTCTGATAAAAGCCTACGATTTTGGAGGAAGTGACTGTTGAGGAGGCAAGTTATTAGGCTTCACTAAAGGTGCAGGATCTGTAGCTAATTGTCGCTTTGCTGCCTTGAGAATCTGCCGACTCTGTGTGAGTAATAAAAAGTTAAAATACAAAGCAATAATATACATTTTGTTTTACTTTATGCAAAAACATTCTTTATTCAACATTCAAAAGTTCATCATGACTTATTAAAAAAGCTATGCTTTAAATCAATCATATGTTATACCATTATCATTTAATAAATTGCATGACTACGACTTATAATAAATTTAAAACAAATATTTCAGAGGATGTAGAGCAGGGTTCCTCAAACTTTTTATACAGGGTGTCAGTTTTGGACCAGAAAATAGTTTGATAAAATATGAACCAATTCCAATTAATATAATCTTATGCTTGCACTTGCATGATTCTTACAAAACATGTCTGATTCATTAGTCTTTCAGGTGGTAGTTATTTTAGCAAAGAAAGGCTGCTTGACTTAAATAATCTTTCAGGAGTAAAAATTATGTACTTTGTTCAGTTCCCTTTGATAAATCATACAGACATTAGGAGTTAATAAGTTAGACTTAAGAGTGTGGACGTGGACTTTTTTATTAATTTTTTTTTTTTTGGCCAGTCACCTTGGTGACTGTCCAGTATGCCTAACTTAAAATTTGATTTTAAACCACTTAGTAAACAATAAAACATCAGTTGGCCTAGGCCTTACGTCTGATCTCAAATAAATACAGTTCAATACTCTACTCAGTCTATTGCGAATGCTACCTGCTTTAGCCCTTTGACCCTGCGATCCCGCTTTATCGGTCTGCGCCGTAAAAATCTACACCCCGCCAAACAAATATTTCAGTCTCCCATACCCTACCATAGATCAACAGTCTGTATATAAAATGTGTTGTAAATACTGAGTTCAGGGTTTATCACATGACTTGCAAAAGGTCACAGTAATGGCAGCGCCCATGAGTGCATTGTTTTTGTTATGTTATATAGTAATGTTTTCTGATGTATTTATAGACTTAGGTGACGAAAATATACAAATTGCTATTCTTAAGGACCCAAACCAGGGTAGTTTTATGATTGACCATTGATTGACTTCAACTTCAAGTGCTATCGATGTGTACTTTGGCTTTGGGAATAAAATAAACAACACAAGGCGTCTACCCCTAGTCCAAGCCAAGGCTTTTATTCTTTTATGAAAAATCAGGGTCCTGTAAATGACCTTTTACTAAGCCTAAGCTATTTTAGACCATTTCTTTCTCCTGGTGAAATGGTTTATAACACTTATCATGATTTATAGTTATGGACTACTAACAGACAAATTCAGATTGAAATAAATAAAATTTATTTAATATAATAATCATTTGATTTCACTTTGACTTTGTGTCAGTTTGTAGAATTTTCCCCAGTAGCCCAGGCCCAGGGGCATGGGTATTTTATGACCAGAAGCCAAGTGTTCAAAGGTTTAAACTTAGTTCTCAACTATACTATACTATAGCAGTTTATTAGTAGTAGGCCTATAAACTATAATAATTTTAAGTTTTCATTAAGATTATAATATAATCATTTAATAATGATTTAATCATTAATTATACCATTATACTTTATACCCAATACTAATATTACACTTTAACTTTACTACTGTAATTGTTTATTAACAAAAACAATTTTTTGGAAGTACCTGGCTTGATGTCCGAACTCTCCACATTTTCTTTAACCCGGCTCATTAACTGTATTAGCTTGCGTTTTTTGTTTTCCTAACACTTCAATTTTAATGGAACCAATTTTAACTTATATTATATAGTAGACAGTAATAACGACGAAAGCAAATCCAAGGTGAAATCTTTCTTGCCAGATTTTTGATCATACAATTTAAAGCTGTTTTTCGCATGTCACATATAATAATATAATGTCATAGTCCATATCATGATTTAGGAAAACATTTTTTTACTCTATCGTAAAAATATGTTGTTGTTTTTTGTTTTTTTTAATTAGTAAAAAAATGAATATTTTACTATTGTAAAATATTATTCAGCCAAAATGCAAACATCGCAATTCATTTAGCGATTAATATATTAAAATATAAAAAAAACTGAATTTAAGAATCTGCTTATAATAAATTGTATTTTTATTGTTTTTAATCTTAATTTTTTATTTAACAAAATATTTTTGGTATATTTTAAACTTTGCATATGTATTGCAAATAGGCATATTTTATGAAACCGGCTTCTAAATATAAAAAGTGGAGCAAAAATATTAGAGAACAAAATTAATTTAATGTTAAAATCCTGAGTTTACCGTTGTTTTGTTCTGCATCATTTATAAGACTACATTAGACTAATTTAAAAAAAAATTTCTTTATGTCTCATAAATTATCCACATGAATCATAAATAAACACTTTTATTGTTTAAGCTCTCTGAAAAAGCTTTTGGAAGAGTTTAACACTGTAAGCACAAACCAGGACCGGATTAACCTTTAGTTTAAGCCATACTGCTCATATTATAGGCCATGTGATATAAGCACGTGCTTAGGGCGTCAGATGAAAGGGTTAGCCACAAAATTATACGGAAAAAAAACTAGATTTAAGAAAACATTTAAATAGCCCCTAAAAACAAAGATTATTAATCCTTAATAAATTGTAATATTGAGCAATAAGAGGTGGGGATAAAATTTGTCAAAACATGCTTAGGCATACAAGTAGTGCACTTTATTATAGGCCTAAATTATAAGAATCCCAATTGGTGATCCCCACCCCCCTTTCAATACTCGCAACCGCACATTTTTTCACGTCCCTGAACTATAAAAATATTATAATTCCCACCCGCTTTTACTTTTACACAGTAGATTTATTTCACCAACACTTTTAGATACACAAAATAAAATATTATGCACCAAAAGTAGCTTCTTGCGATATTTTTTTTTAATGTAATTTTTTAAAGAATCTCGTTCAACGCAGTTGTATGGAATTTAATTTTATCTTCCTTTGAAAAAACAGGAAAACTTGGAGGTCATCGGCAACGAGTTTCAGCTCGATATGTTGACGGGAAGTGGGTCAATTAGCCATCCGAAGATTTTTGCCACGAGGAAAATCACGAACAAAAGCGAATTTAATGTAAAGGGTTCTAATATAGCTTCATAGTAAACATATAAATAATATTGGAGACGTGTTCGATACTAAAGTATGTGCTACATAATGGTGATGTCAAAGTATGTTGTGAAATGTATTTTCGGGGCAGTTAAAAACGGATTAATGCTTATGCATAAATTACAAGTGACAAGTGGCATCGCCTCTGTTACTCTCGAATTAATTGTAGGATTTGGCAAAACTAAATATATATATTTGCCAAAATGCATTCGTGCATTTTGAATTCATTTTAAAAAATGGCGAGGGGCTCATTGAACTCTACCCCCTTTTTTCATTGACCGCTTGTGGAGTGCGGCACCACAATTTTGATTCCAAATTTAGTAATAATACTGTAATGTTTTTGTTCTTTCTTGAATACTTGTACATAATATTTAATACAATAATAAATACTTCACAGCGTTATTGGTCATCGCCATTCATTTTATTTGTAAAAAAAAACTACAAAAATGCTTGCAGGGAACTGTGTACTTCATAGTTTTAGTGACGTGGGATGTTTGGTTGCTCCACTGCCCTCTTCGCCCCATACTCATGACACTATGGGGCACCCAGTGCGTCATGGTGTAAACTCTGGGCGCGCCCAACAGTCAGCGGTGAAAATCCGTCACACATTTTATTACTGGGACGTCATAATCATCTAGCAGTGTTATTATTTTTTTCTGGGAGGGGATCGAAAGCTTATTGGACATACGAATGTGGATGTCAAAAAGTACTCGGGCAACAGGGAGATAGAAAATGTTACTTTTTTTTGGCGTACGTACTATATGGATTGGCTCCTACGTTTTCGTTTTGCATCAGCGTGTGGTAGAGGCCGACCGGATTTCTGTTTCGGCACCGAAAGTTGCCACATGATCATTTTCGGCGTGATTTCGGTTTCGGCTGAAACAGAAAAGTTAACTTACGGTTTATTTTTGGTCTCGGCCGAAATTGAAGTAGACTTTCGGTCGTCTACCATAAGTCAAACTGTCACTCTGTCGGTCGGCAACCTGATAAATATTATTGCTCGAAGTCTTACTTTCATGTTATGATATATGACCAATCCCCTTGGTACACTACTCGGCTGAATGATGACCTATTTGTCCAATATTTTAAAAAAATAATAAATACAATTAGGCTTGGGCAAATGTAAATATTTTTGAAAAGAAAAAAAAACTAAGGGAAATGATCATATTTCTATTATTATTTTTGTTTTAATTGTTTTAAAATAATTTTCATTCTCATAAATCTTGCCATTCTTATCGGTAAATAATGCGAGGAAACGGTGTTTGACTTCAAATTTACATATTAATGCTGAACTAAATTATGTTATTTAACGTTTCTTGTTGCAAGTGTAGGTTCTTTATATTTATTTCTGGATTATGGATTACTTACCAATTATTAAATTATTGTTGATAACTTTTTTATTGCATCATTGTTTAACAATACAGTTGTTGTTGTTTTTTTATACTCTTGTGCTTGGTTATGTATCTTTTGTTTTCGATGTAATCCGAGTCTCAATAAACTTTCGGTTTCGACCGAACGTAATTTTAACTTTCGCTTTGGTTTCAGCCAAAAACAGAATTTTGGTCGGACGCTTAGTGGGTGGCCTCTGTGATGTATAGAGCATATGAATGTGCTAAACTGTAGACGACAATCGTATTATTTATATGAAGTTAAAAATAAATTATTTTTCATGCTTTCATCATTATAAATGTTTTCTTTCTCCGTGTGTATGCATGGGCGCCCGCAGAAAACTTTCTAGGGGAGGGAGGGGGGGCAAAAAATCGTTTAACTTTCCAGGGGGGGGGGCAAAATTTTTTTAGTAATGTTTTAATGTAGTTTTAATTTACTGTAGCGTATTTGTATGGTGAACGAACGGACAGGACATCAGCTTAGTTACTTTCTCTTTATTTTCTCTTTACTTTAATAAATTTTGTGTCTATTTTTGTCTAAAAAATTTTTATCCAATCAATCCGGGGGGGGGGCAAGTGCCCCCTTTGCCCCCCCCCAGCGGGCGCCCATGTGTGTATGTATTTCTTTTTTCACAATGTTAAAATAAGGCCTAAAATTTCCTGGGGCAGCACCTCCACTAATTTAAGTGACGAGCCGCCACAACACCAATACATCACAAAGCTTTCCATCATTATAACCCAGTTGACAACATATCAATATTTTCCGAGAATGACAAATGACGCATGCAATGTGGCTTATTGGAGTGTTTTTATCAAAATTTGCCTCCAACTTTAAGGGACTTAATATAAACATATATTTACAAAACTGTCGGTAGACAGAATGCGAGCTCCGAAGAATGGCCTCTGACTCTGATCAAGTTACAGGACGCCTAGTGGTAGGAGAATCGGAATGTGGCAGTTACAATAACAGCCGTGAGCTGATTCTCTCAGTGATAGTAGTTTTAAAATAAAAATATATATATTTTTTTAAATGATGTAAAAATATCTGTAATTTAGTGTTATTAAGTGAAATTCTTTACTACAACATTCTGCTTTTCATGTGACGTCACATGGCTTGAGTCCCCCCCCCCTCCTCCACGTCACACATCATCACAAAAATCTTACCCCCCGCTCCCCCCCTCTAGACGTGTGACGTAATTTATGGATGGCCCCTGTAAAGTAACATACATTTTATATTCATTTCCATATTTACTTTGGTTACTGATAAAATGATAGGGGCATTAAGTTCCGCTCGGGGCGCATCAGTAAATAGAAGATTTTGGCGTTCCTTGTCTTTTCGAAGTATGTTGGATTTTATCGTTTGATTCCCTCCTAAGGCCCTATCTAAAGACCACTTTGCAGCCCTTGACATGGGCGCCGTTGTGGAGTGCTCCCATCGTCCACGCCCTTTGGCTTGGCATGGGTGACGCGGCACACCATGGCGACGTGTCCCACCAGGGAGACGTAGCGCTAATTGTGGAAACCATTGGGCTCATTGGGCTGCTCCAAGCAAACAGCGTTGAATACACGGGTCGTTAAAATCGTATATAACTAAATTTGTGCGGGTGGTATCTTTTTTCAAGGAGTCAAAATCTCATTTCTACTTAGGCGGGGTGGGATTCGAAAGAAAAAAAAATGCAGCATACAATCAGCAACATTTTAAATGTTGGTGTGATTGCCAACATCATCCGGTCGACTACTCTTCTTTATAATATCATTAAAAAAAAATATTATGAATTGTAATCTGGCAAAAGACCAACAGATATCATTGTATTTTATCCTGGAAATAGTTGGTTAAGTATTATTATTATTATTATTATTCGTCCTTCGACATGAGTCGTAGACTTGACTTGAAATGTATTTTGTTTGAAGTAAAGTGAGGGAGAGTTGTTCAATCCGTCAGCCCCACCCCTCTCATCCCTTACCGATTTGTTCCACTGACAATGACTGAGTCAAGACAACGGGAAATAGACCAGGATGCAGTAGTCAGTAGGTGATGACCAGCGGTGCTTTTGTGTGTTTCACTGCCTCAGGAGTTTTCCATGTCATGCCGCCACCCACGAGACTTTGGATTATGAATTCAGAATTTTTCTGCTCTTAGCTGAGAAGCCATCTAAGGTCAACGGTTCCGATCCACCCGGGATACTGGTGTTGTTTTTGCTTGTCAATGCATTTGCTGGGGGATCGAACTGCATGCGTTCGGGGTTGACTCAGTTTACGCCGCTCGGCCAGCCAGAAAAATTTATTGGGCTATTAATATCACATTGGTAAATGTTTCGCGCTGTTATATCTCCGTTTTATGGCTATATTTCTATTAATTTATCCTATAAACTATATAACATTTGGCTTTTTTTTTTTTTTCAACGGCAATTTTAATTCAAACACGTACATACAATAATGTTTAGTTGTGTGTACCAGTTGAATATTAAGAAAAGCACAGTGGCTTCGTCATTCAGCGCTTATGCTTGCACCATGCAATGTGCAATGCCATATTAAGACTTGTGGATTCGGAAAGTGTCCTCAATCAGATCCGGCCCGCCGTGGTCCTAAGCCCGGCCCGCCTCGCCACCGTACGGGTACCTGGGTAGCAGTGAAAACATGAAACCGCACATTAACTATTGTTGACTTATGATTTAATTATTAGTATTTGAGTTTGTGTATGCAGAGATATACCCATTGGACCATTATATTTAATTTATAGTAGCGTTCATCTTCTTGTCTTATAATCTTTGGTACTTCGTTTCTCTCTCATATACTCTAACCCTGCCTTAATTGTGGACGTGTTCCGATGTTCTTATTATTGTAGTCTAATGTAAATAAACATTTGGCAGTGTGCCACAAATTAACTACCCCTTTATCTTTCTAATTTAACTGGAATTTGAATACCTCTAATATATCTTATCAAGTAAACATATCGCTATCCCCCACAGTTTTGGACTAGCCAGCACGCCCAAAATGCAAACAATTGTGAAATGTAGATCAAGCGCATTTTTAGACACCCCTTATTATGCTTGGTTCAGGTGAATAAATATGGAATTATTTTTTCCACTCCATAATAAGATCAGTGCAATGTGCATACGAAAAAATATGTTGTCCGGGATGGTGAACCGACCCCTGATTAAAAAGTTACGTCTTCGCAAGAAACCAACGTTCAAAATTAAATCCCTAAAATAATGTAAACCTTTGTTGCGATGCCCCACAAAACGTGGAGCCCCCTGGGAAAATTCCCTTTTCCCGCCCTTTTGCTGCCCCTAAAATTGTCTTGGGGATCGTTCGCAAATTACGTCACGCCAAAAATGACCTTTTCAGACCCCCTCGGGCCCTCCCCCATGTCACAGTTTCACAAATTCTTGACACCCCCCCCCCCCGCCATCGTGACGTAATTTGCGAACGACCCTTTACCTAGAAACGGGCTCAATCTTGATACATTAAATACACTGCACAATCTGTTTTAATTCACTGCAGCGATTTAAAAGTAAAAGCAAATAAATTATCAAACTAACGTTGTGAGCAATCTAATCCTGTGGTGCGGTACAAAATGCCCAACATTAGCGACTGGCGTGACTGGGGTTCTCCCAGCCAACCACGTCGAGAGCCTGTTATACGGGTCTGCCCAGCAGATGAGGCAGGCCTGTTCCATACTTGCCGGGGCCATTAAAGAGCAATAGCTCGGTCCCATACAGTGAATGAAATATATATTTCAGTAACTTGGGTCGCATATTTTTTTAACGGCTAGGAAATAGCGGTAACGGGTTTAAATAAACGAAATCTGAAGAGCAGGTTACATCATATCAAGGTTTTGAAGTCTTGACGGCTCAGGAAAATAAGGATAATGATATTTCATGTTCGTGTCATTGTCATGGCTGTAAAAAATGTTTAAAAAACCTGCACGGGTAGGCTACCCGTTAACCCACGGAGCCGGGTATCCGATGGAGCAAGCACATTTTTACGAAATGTAGGGGTGTCCGTGCATGGAAAAAAAGAGACATAACATGTTGATGATAGATGGATAAATAGTTTTAGATTTAAATATTTCTTTGGGATTTCAAACTAGTATGACTTTCTTCATATAAATTACAAATTACGATATGGCACCTTTTGTAAAACTCTTCGATCTACATAAACACATATTTTTTCCCTTCAAAATCCTCATATATATATATATATATATATATANAATACTTTAAATAGTTTTTTTTTTAATCTCAACCTCTCACTTCTTGTACCCGGGTGCGAAGAGTCGTACCCAAAAAAAAAAAAAAATTGCATTTAAAAAATCTCTGCATGAATAATTGAAAAACTAAATTTCCAGCAAACAAAAAGGGAGATTATCTGATCGTGGTCGTATCATTAATGCGCTTAATCTGACCATAGGTGGCCCCGAACTTTAAAAAAAAAAAAAACTGCTTTTAAAAAGGAAAATAAATTGTGAAATTGAAATATCAATTTAAAACAAAAAAAAAAAAACACAAAAAACCCACCAAAAAACCAAACAAACATAAATATTAAATTTAAAGATAATAGAAATGTTCTGTAATAAACAAGATGTTTCCAAAGTAAAAAAAAATTACAAGAAAAACAAAGAAAACTATAAAACGATAATCATACCAGTTGTAACATACGCAAGTGAAACTTGACCATTAAAAATGGTAGAAAACCTACTAAACACCTGAGAGAAGAAAGTTCTCACAAAAATATACGGACCTACACTGGATGAATAAGGGTAGAGAATACGATCCAATCAAGAACTGTAGAGACTATATCAGAATCCAATGCTAGTGGCAGAAATAACAAAGGGCAGGCTACGCTAGGCTGGACACTTTGAAAAAATGTCAATTGACAGAGGGGTGAAGAGGGTACACAACCAAAACCACAGAGCAAAACGGCTCAAAGGCAGACATAGGCTTAGATTGATGGATGATGAGGAAAAAGATCAACAGCAGCTGGGAATTCAAACATGGAAAAGATAAGCACCTGTTAAGTCTGAGTGGAAGGAAGTGATGAGGTAGGCCAAAGCCCTATTGTAGTGATTTTTATTGGTTGCACTATTTTCTTACTTGTATTCCATGATGCCTGAAAGAAACACTGCTGTCCACCCATCTTAAATTATATAGAGGGTAAAACCGTCTTACTAAAACTTAAACTGTTAAAGTAGGGAAATGACCACTGTTCAGTGTACAAAATATAGAATATTCCTGTCTTTTTTAAATTTGTAATCAATCTATCAATGAAGGCGTTTTGTATGCCAACAACTTTGTGTGTTTTTACCACTCTACAGAAGATGTCAATATTTAAGGCTCCGCTCACAATTCTGTTGGAAGGCGCATCTTTGCAAAATTTTCGCGCCGTAAATTCCCGTCATCCAGCCGGAAGTAGTGGCCTATTCATTTGTTCATTCCCGTGGCCGTTGAGAAGACGCTACACTATCGTAATGGTGTATAGGGCTGTAAAATGGAGTTCCTTTAAAATAATAAATTAGGTTTGTTAACAAGGAATGCCATCTAATTAAATGCAGCCGAATGTCTAAAGAAAATTACAATATAACTCCCCCAAAATTTAAATACAATCATTAATTACAAAGCATCACACACTGCATAATTTAGAGAAATGAGAAATTTAAGTGAAATAAATCATGTAGCCTGGCTGGTTTCCTTCTTATTTTTTATAACTTCTCATGATGATGTAAATGCCATGCCCACTGGCAAATGAAAATTCTTTCCCAAATTAACTATACATTCTAAAATATAACATGTTTTGTTCCACTTTTGAATACTAAATATGTTAACTAAAGTTCTGAAGACTAATGACTAACTTAACTTAAGTAAGCCCTGTGGCTTGTGATGAATATGCTTTATATGAACTAAGTCCACATTTTTTATTTGATCCTTAAACATGCTCTGGGGAGGTTATCTGCATGCAAAATAATTGATCGACCACTGTTAACTGTGGTCAGATGTGTGCCAGTGAGGAATCTATTTGTAAAATATTGTATTGAATTGCAAAAATGAGTTTTTTGTTTTCAACTCAATAAAAGTATCCTGATGTAAAAAACATCTACTTGCACATGAGTAGACCCATGCGAAATAATTTTAGGCGACCTTAAACTTTTTATTGTATTATCTTTCTTCAAAGTTTAAATTTTTAGTAATGAATATCATCAGTTACAAATTCATCCCTTGCTAATACATAATTTAATAATAATACACTTGTCTCTTTTTTTAAAAGAGCTGTTTTGTGCAAAATGACAGGCATTAAATGTAAAATTTTCTAGAGTTTTGTAATTTACTAAGGCTAAGGAATATTGGTCATTGGTGCTTTTATTAAGTTCATCACCAGTGTTTCTGATTTTTTTTCATGGGCCAGAATTTATGATTCAACTTTGTGACCCACTAAAATTGTTATAGCTTATTCTAGTCTATCAATAACATAAATAACAACAGATTTTGGAAAACTGAAGTTAGAGGCATGGACTTCGCCAAGAGTTGTCTAAGCCTAAGGGCAGTGGACTCACTTTGCGAAATCCCAACACTACTTAGTTTAGGGTGACACTTCCAACAGTTGGACCTGAAAGATCATTAAAGATGTGTATGATAACTTTCCCATTCTTTAATGAGCATTATTCCTGTCATAAACTAAATTCAGACCTGTTTACTCTTACGATTTTGGAATGCAATGTACAATTTTGAGATATCTTTTATGATTGTATACAAGACCTGTCAGAACTACAATTTTAAGAGACCAGGTTGAAAAAATATAAATTCCAGTATTTCTATCTGATTAAAATAAAATAAATTAAAAAGAACATTTTCGATATTTGGTTTTAATGTGGGCATTTGCATTTTACATCCAGCAGTGACGGGATCGATTGAGAAATATGATTGGTTTGGCACCATCTATAATCATATGACATTTGGGCTGTTTCAGATTTAGCGGCCCACGTTGACTTTGTTAAGGTTAGGCATAGGGATCGATTTAGGGTTCGGGTTAGGTTTAGGGATAGATTTAGGGTTCGGGTTAGGCATAGGGATAGATTTAGGGTTCGGGATAGGCATAGGGATCGATTTAAGACGTAAAAGTGCGAGCATGGAAATAAACGCGGGCCGCTTTCTCTGAATTTACCGACATTTGCCCCAAGGGGGGGAATGGAGTGGTGTTGATATAGATTTTGTGTATGGGGAGGGGGGTCTAAATATAAAAATAAATACTGCGACATTTTTGTAATGATAGTGGGGGTTGGGGTCCTCAGCAGTATGTACTATTATTCAAAATTTCTACAATATCAATTGCAGTTGGGTTGAAAGCTCATTGTAGGTACACAAGGAGGAGGGGGGTGGTTTCCATCAAAAAGTATTAGTGCATGGGGGGGGGGGTGTTGTTTGGGGTTTGAAAATTTGACCTTTATTCAAAATTTCTACAATATCAATTGCAGTTGGGTTGAAAGCTCATTGTAGGTACACAAGGAGGAGGGGGGTGGTTTCCATCAAAAAGTATTAGTGCATGGGGGGGGGGGGTGTTGTTTGGGGTTTGAAAATTTGACCTTTTTGTGTACATACTGTATAGATGGCCCCTTCTCGAGTTTGTTTGCTTCAGTGTTGTATGATGTTATTTTGTGACAAAATTATTGTTTACGACTGAACCGCAGCGAGTGCAGAAACTGGAAAAGATGCATTTTCAACTGTTCGGCGCTGCAACATGAGTGTTCGGTATATTTTGTAGGATCCGAGAGGGCCTTAGAAATCTATATTTAGAGCGCACGCTCAAGCAGCTGTACGATTTTTATTACCCCCTCTCCCTTTCACCCATTTAAAGTTGTCAGACTATATGTTAATGTGAAATAAGCATAATGGATAACGATTATCTTTAAAAAAAAACAACAGCTTTTCCTTAAAAATCTCACGTTACTTGGTAGTTTTTATTTTAAATGGGGCCCTAATTTGTTAATTCTTATTTAAAAATTTATTTTATTCTGATCTTACTTCAAATTTGAACCACATTCATTTCACCAGTCACATTATTTTTAGCAGTGACAAACTGTGATAATGTGATATGCACCTTCACTAAATATTAATGGATATTTATAGCAGATACACATTTGCCAAAGTGACAGCAGATTGCAATATAAATGTCAGTTATCTACATTTTACCTTCAGTTACCGTTTTTGACGCCAGCTTAACTTGATCACACTATACACATGTTGGCGAGTGGTTATTTAATATATTATATATACTGTATGTTTATTTATTTACTGTGTTGTACTATTTTAAAAAGATGTACGATTTAAGGAGTTTGAGGCTCAACAGGCATTTAAATCTAACCATTGATACAGAAAATATAATAATAATAATATAATATGAAATATATTAAAATGAAAATTTTCAATAGTTTTGATTAAAGTTCAAATTATAAAGTTCAAAAGAAATTTAAATCAAAAGTTTTAAAAAACTTTTTTAAAAAGTCTTTCTATCAAAGACGAGTTAAACAAATTCTTAAAATGCATTACGCAAATAAAAAGTGCAGAAGTGTAGATGAGCATTATGAAGTCAATGGATTCTTATGGAATGTAGATGCAACTTAAATGTTTATTTTTTATTAATTTCAAAGAGAACACATCAAATTTAAATTTAGCAGTATGTCAGTTGTACACTGGAAAAAAGCCTTTTAGTCCTAAAATTGTCTGAAGAATAATTATTATTTTTTACCGGTAATAATATTAGTGTTCTATTTCTTCTAAATCCCCAGTTTACACTAGACTTAAGTAGATGGCATTGTAAAAATGGAACCCGATCAAGGAATTCCTGTTTCAAGTGTGCATTCTCCACCTGCATCAGGATGCCACCGTCTACCACAACTTCCTACCATGGGTCGCAATGTCCGAACAGCTCAGAGTAAAACAAGTGCAAAACTAAATTTTGAATCAAAGCCTAGAGATGAGGCTGCAGTTTTACACATAGATGGAACATCAAAAGTAGTCAAGATTTTAACTGATGGCATTTCAGAATGGACTGAGTTTGAGGGCAAGGAAACTGTTCCTGTTCCTGTTGTACTTCCTGCCATTGAAAGAAGTGTTCCTGATCCAAACGCTTCATATGTGGAGGCTACACTATCGCCTTTACTCAAAAAGAAAAGGCAGAAGAAAAGCAGTGAGAGTAGGTCGAGAAAAGGGCTACCTCCTAATGTTGCTAATGCTGATGCAGATAATTCAAACCTGTTAAATAATATTGAAACTTTGGACAAGAAGAAAGATATTCCTAATATTAATTGTTCTGCAAAGGATTTTGAACTGTCTCTACCTGATGAAGCACATCATGATTTGCAAAATATTTCCAAAATCTCAGATAACAGCAAATTACCTCAGGAAGATAAAAGTAGGAAGAAAAAAGAAAGTCCTTTAGAAAAGAAAAAAAGAACATCTAAAATGGGCCATGAAGTCAAACCTTTTGAAAATGAACAAAATGATAGCATGCAGTTTGTTAATAATACTTTAAACCCTGAATCACAACAGGAAGAAATCAAACCTGCATTACCAGAACCAGAAGATGCTACTTCTAATAAGGGTCACATTCCAAGATGTGTTTTGATTTTGTCGACTGAGGTACCCACTGGAACTCAATTAGAGAAGCTTTTATCTATGAATTCAGCGCCATATGATTCACGGTATCCACCAATGTGGGAAGAAGGGGATATGCTGTGGGCAAAAGTCAGTGGTCACCCTTACTGGCCGTGTATGGTATCTCAATGTCCATTTACTAAAATGTTCACACGCATTAAAGGTAACTCAAATTTTTTTACATTGTCTCTAAAATTTATGTGTAGCTTATATTTTTAGTCTTTTTATGCCTAAAAAATGAAAAGATGATAAAAAATTTTCATAAAAAATGGACTTATTTTACTTTTGTAGTATTAAAGTCTTCAATGTTTTCTCAAAATACAGGTGATGTCAAAATAATCAGGTCATATCATGTGCAGTTCTTTGGCAATGAAGTTGAAAGAGGCTGGATTAATGAGCCATCTTTAATGTTATTTGAAGGAAAATTCAGTTTCTTAGAGAAAGCTCAGTTAGAGCTGGCTAAACAAACTAAGAAAGGTAAAAGTGCCTACAATCCATTTAAAATTAATATATCCAGAAGACATGCTTGGAACATAGCTGTTGAAGAAGCAGAGGGGGCAATGAATTTGTCTAAAAGTGAAAGAAGAGTGCAATATACATTTGATTATGTATTTATGGATGAACTGAAAAAAGAAAAAATAATTAAAAAAAAAGATCAAAAAGGAACACTGGATGAATCTAGCATTTCAAAGTCAACAACTTCAGGAATAAAACGGAAACGAACATCTTCTGAAGGAAAAAGTCAATCCCCAATTGCGAACAAAAATAAAAAACGTAAATTAGAAATTAAATTTCCTCTTCCAAAGCCTATTCCATTTGGAGCTGAAACATCATTTGACACATATTATGCAAACCATCGGAGTACAGTAATAGAGCAACATCCAGAGTGGGATACTACTTTTGTATTTGAGTACCTTAGGCAGCAGTGGGAGAAGGAAAAGAAGAAAACTGCTCAGTCACCTCATTCTTCAACAGTAGGTACTCCAACCCCACCAGGTATGTACCATTGGGAGTAGGGGCCACTGATTAAAATTACAGTAAGGTTAATCCTAAGTTCTTTAAAATGTTAGTTTTTAGATCCAACAAAAGGTAAATTAAAGTAAATTAAATAATGGATTATGCAATGAAGGTAAATGGTAGGAATACTGTTTATATTTCTTGTTCTCTAAAATAAATATTTACAACAAAAAAAAAATGTAAATAAGAGAATGGTAAAACTTTTGAAAGTACATTGCGTTTTTTAACAATCAAATAGGAAGTTTATAAAAATTACAAAAAAATTAATATTTTATGTGTAGGAAATATAAAGAAAAGACGAGGATCTAAACTGATGAAATTATTGAGTGGAGAAAGCCCTGTTGTTTGTGATTCTTACCAAGAAGTAAAAGAACAGGTAATCTACACCAAGCCTTTCGTTATAGGCTTGGTAAAATAAGTAAATAAGACAGAGTTTATTCAGAAAGTGAAAATTCAATTTAATCACTGTTAAAATACCTATTACTATAAGTTCATAATTGATTTTTAATATTAATAAAAGCACTTAATCTATGCACTCTAAAACTTATTGTGCCAAGTTGTTAGTGGTGGTTGCAAAAAGGTTTAAAAACTGAGGATCTTAGCAAATTTGAAATAGTTACAAGTTTCAAAACAAACGATCTTGCTCACCATAATTTTTTAATATAAATATATTATGATTTTGTCTCCTTTTTTCTTTAGTGAGGATTGGATTTCAAGCTCATCAATAAATTTGTGTTTTTTTCCCACCAATTTTTTACTGACCATTTTTTGGTCTTACTCTTTTCATGTTTATGCTATGTGACATAAACAAATTTATTAAATTTAAAAATGATTCTGGAAACGTTCTTAAATTGATAAATATATTAATTAATAAAACTTATTTTAAAAAAAATCAAATCTGTTGTGTTCCATAGTTCTTGAATAGAAATGTTTGGCTTTGTAATTTTCAGGGCAGTCCAGGACAAATAAAGAGAAGAGGAAGGCCACCTAAGTATTTACAACAGATGGAAGTAGAATTAGTTACAAGTTCTTCGCCTGCTTCTGTCACGCAAGAAGCAGAGGAGACTCTAATAACAGATGAAGACACTGCACGCCCTAAATTAGCAGCCTCTGCTCTTTCTGCACGCAAAGTTAGCCAAGAATCAGATTCAAGCACTGAGGTTTTTTTCTTGTCTTTCACATGTAGATTAATATGTATGAGTTGCTATTAGATAAAATATCTGTAATTTGATATTGATATATCTGACAAAAATATCTAAATTTGTCACTGTAACTGTAAGGAATTATTTCTATAACTGAGTAGAGAAACAGTTGGGAACTCCCTGATACCAAAACTGGATATGGCCCAAAGAGAAGGAAAATTATCCTTCCTGCCCATATTGAAAAATCGGACCCTGATCTGTAAAGAAATATTGCACTGACCTGTCACCAAAAGCAAGAAGTTGATATTTTGATAGAATCTCTTTTTATTGGAGAAGTAGCATCCTGCATCTCCATTTCCATTTCAGTAATATTATTGTTTCTTAAATAAATTACATCAGTGATTTCCCAATGCACAAAAAACTGCAAATTTATTAATGTCCTTATTTCCCTTCATTTGAACTTGCAGCAATGTTACATGTTAATATATTTATATAAGCAGTTTTTCTGGAGAAGTAGCATCCTGCATTTCCATTTCAGTAATATTATTGTTTCTTAAATAAATTACATCAGTGATTTCCCAATGCACAAAAAACTGCAAATTTATTAATGTCCTTATTTCCCTTCATTTGAACTTGCAGCAATGTTGCATGTTAATATATTTATATAAGCAGTTGATAAATTGCAATTTATTCTGTAGAGTAAAGGAAAAGGCTTGCGAGAGAATGAACCATATGAGCTTGAAATTTTCAAGCTGAACTCAACCTGCAAAATTGATAAAGATAAGATCTGTGCAATCTGTGAGAAGAATGGAGATGTATTTGAATGTTCAAAGTCATGTGGACAGCATTTTCACCCCTCTTGTGTCAATGTTGAACCCCAGGCTGTTGAGCAATATGTTTGTCTTGAGTGTAGCTCAGGTATACTGATTTTAAGAATCATTTGTGCGCTTAATTACGCTTAAGTTATTTTTTTAGTGAATATGAAATAAAAGAAAAATCTCTTACAAGTTAACTGTAAATAATTATATATTTTTTGTATATTGCATGTAACTTGTAATTGTTAACTGAACGTTTTTAAAGCATCTCTTAGAGATATAATTTACTGTAATAGATATCAGAGTGATCATTTTTAAAAATATAAATGTGACATTAGCCTTGTGATACATCACAATTACATGAATTGCATTTTCATTTTAAAAAAAAAGGAAATCACACATGCTTTTCCTGCAAAAAAGCAGACATGGAGACTGTAAAGTGCTCTGTTAATTTGTGTGGCAAATATTATCATGAGGACTGCATACGAAAATACCGACTCGCTCGCTGGGAATTAAAAGGATTTATTTGTCCACTACACACCTGTGCCACCTGCGCTGTAGACAGTGTCAAGAATCCTAAAGCCATTAAAGGTAAATAATTGTTTAAATAACCCTCTAATGCATTTAGAGCCTACTGTGATTTCTCGAATTCCCACCACTGCCTGCCTTCTATGCTGGGTAGTGGCAAGCCAGACCAATAGTCATGCTCTTTCGGGCCGGCTAAAATTTACTGCTGCGCTTGAGTGAAGCTCTCTTTTAAAAGGGAAATCTATGTTTTTATCTGCTTTTATTAAAGTTACCAGATTTCAAAGTTCCACATGGTTTTCCAAGCTAATTCACAACAAGCTGGTAAGTTTACAAGACTAGCAAGTTTAGATGATGAAACAATCAAAGTAGAATTTTTTTAAATTAATGTAGAAAGATAGTCAACTTCAGATATTATAATTAAAAGGTTATTATTTAAATAACCGCATTTTTATATCATGAATAATACATTTCATTCATCTGATATTTTCTGCAATTTAAATAAAATGTCGTTGCTTATTTCATTTTAAAAAAAACAACTAAACTTATTTTTAAAATGAGTTATGTTTCTTTGCTTAGGAAGGAGGGCAAGTATTCCTTTAAGAAGATTTAGTAAGAGTCTTAAAAATTTGCATTTTTTATTATCAAATAAAAAATAAAATTGTATTTCCTTTATGGTTTTATGATTTAACCAAAAAAAAATAAAAACATTTTTGGTTGTTAGTTTTAGCTCCTTGCTAAACTATGTGGTGAGTGGACAGAGAAATATGATTTGCTGGGGACCATCCATAATTATATTACATGTGCACTGAAAAGAGAGGGGGGGGGGTGGTTTTGACTTGAGAGAGTACATTTGTGCAAAGGAGACGTCGAAAAAATTTTAAATGCTATAACCACGTTTTGTAATTATCTAATGATCGTCATATTGTTGATTTGTGTTTTCCCAATGAACTTGCTAGATATAGCAACAATAATATTCAGCGTACTCGCTATACTGACTGACAAATTTAGTAAACAGTTGCTTTTGTTTGTTCTGGTGCTGTATTGTATGTTGTAATTTTGTGACATAGTTATTTTGTTCTTCGGCTGAATGGTAGCGATTATGGAGAAAGCTATGGATTTAAACAAAATCCATTCTCAGCTGCTCTGCACAGCAGCATTATGTTTTAAATTATTTTATTCAAAAAGATTACTAAGCCGCTTTTGAAATATATTTGTAGAAGTCGCTAAGCAGCTGTAAAATTTAAAACACTACCACTCCTCTTCCCTTCTCCCAATACAGCTTGTGATAGGTATTAGTATTAGACTACATATGTTACGGAAAATAAAATCAGGCTTCTGGGCTTAATGCAGGGGTGGGCAACCTTCGGCCCACAAGTTAAATATTAGGGTCTGTCTGATGTATCACAGATGAACTTATTTCTTCATTTAATTAGTGATTATTTTCATTTTTGGCATAAAAGCACATTTGAAATATGTAAAAATGACTTTTTGGGAATATTTCTGTGTAACCGCCTCTTTTTTAAACATATTCAAAAAACTACATTGACATAAGTAACAAATTGTCAAAAAACTTTTCAATATTTAGTAACATCTTAAATAAAAAGGATTTATAGAAACACAGCCAGGTAAGGGAAACCTAAATTTCCACAAGCATTACGATTATTTGTAGAATGATGTAAAGCTATATTCAGGTATAGGCTAAAGTGCATCCCTGCATGTAGACTTTATAACAAATTTTATGAAAGTGGGCTCAGCCTCCTCCCCAAACCCCACCCCCACTTTTGCCTGGATGACTGGTGGGCTTCCTCAATTTCTGCTCCCCTACCACATCTATCAAAGTCTGCAAATGACAGGTAGTATTTGGAATAATGCATTGTATATAAATATATAAATGTCAGTCATCTACTTTTGAAGTGACCTTTATTAGAAGGGCAGTGCAAATAGTTTTTGTATATATGGTACATTATACTGTATGTTTATTTATTTACTATTACAATACATTATTTTACAAGTTTGAGACGGTAAAGTACTATTCTGAGACTATAGTGTACTATTTTGTGAGTTCCAATGTAACCAGGTCTGGACATATGACTATTTAGCCTAACACTAGAAAATGCATTAAAATGAATAAGGCTCTCAGCCACTGTTGTTTTATTCTACTAACCACATTGTTGTCCACATTAAATTATTTTCATTTATTCCAAAGCTGATATCTTTTATCAACTAATTTTAACCCAATCCAATCAACTAGGCACAGTAATTGCATTTAGTTCAACCTACAATAACAACTGAACCATTTATGCTATTTAATTAGATATTGATTCTGTAAGAATCAGAAATTATTTTACATTTATCTTCTTCCATGCTGGTACTGTGTTACATTTATGAGATGAGTATCTCCTATCCTCTCATCTCTTGGTTATTTAATATGGTTGCTCCAGGGACCATATTTGTACGGTTGCCCTTTATATCAGGTCCAAATGAAATAAACTGTACCAGCTTATCAGCAGTGTCCTCAGTTTTTTCTTTTAGTGAACCCAGTGAATAGACTATACAGTAACAGTTCACACAATTAGTGCTTGTAGATTAAAAATGAATGTTAGACATTTTTTTCATCAACAAGAATGTCCAGTTTTAAAATCAAGTTGGCTTAATTGCCATAACATTGCAGCTGACAGCGAACTTTGGATCAGGCGAAAATGCACATCATCATCAGCAGTCATGTCTTCTTGTTGTTATTGGGCTAGTATCACTACTTGAAAACATCGCTGGAAGATTTGGGTATCATTTTGTGATACCAGCCTTCAGTGAAGTTTGACAGGATTGGTATTATGGTGGACAAAAATCCCATCATGAACAAAACACGATGCATGGACTAAATTTTATAAATTAAAAAAATTAATTTTTGTTAAAAATTGATATTTTAACAAATTTATCAATGAAATTATATTGACATGCTAAAAATAACTTTGGTTTATAAAAATTTGAGAGAAAATGGTTATAATCCACAAGTCGCTTGTGATTTTAAAGTCAATATAGTGTACTTGAGAGTTAAACACATTTTCTTTGATTTTGAGCTAGACACATTTTCCCATCATCATGGCCACATTTCTGTCTTTATAGCATGAATTTGCAGATATTTATATAAAACAAGTGGCACTTGAATCTATGTACAGTTACATTTAAATGTTAGTTAATTATTCTTTCTTGGTGCTGTAATGTACAAAAGAGAATAACATTCTTTGTTTATATTCTGTATGTCTTCATTGGAATTTTTTCATATTATTTTTTCTAGAAAGTCATAATTTATTAACTTCTTTGTGTAGGAATCTCTGGATAACTATTCTTTAAATATTTGCTAAAGTCTGTGTTACAAGCAGTTAAGACTTACAATTTATTTCTAGGTCGGTTTTATCGATGTGTAAGATGCCCAACTGCCTACCATGTGGGGGATTTCTGTGTAGCTGCTGGAAGCACTAACCTTGCTGGTACTTACATTGTTTGCAGTGATCATTTTCAGCCTAATCGATCTCTCAGTTGTCATTCTCGTCTTAACATCACTTGGTGTTTCAGCTGTAGTAAAGGTAATTTGATGTAAATTATTTTTTATTTTATTTCACTGTCCGAACATCATTTGCTTCTAGAATTTCAGTGAGTATCAATAAATAAAAAATACAACCTTTTTTAAGCATTAATTTTGATAATGTATGATTACCGATGTCCATATTTTAACTAAGTAAATTCTCAATTTTTTTTGTAAAAAGGAGGAACACTGTTATGCTGTGAAACATGTCCAGCTGCTTTTCATGCTGAATGTGTTAAGGTTGAGAAAACACCAGAAGATGCTTGGTTTTGCATGGACTGTGCTGCTGGAAGAAAACCCTTGTATGGCAATATTGTCTGGATCAAAGTTGGAAACTATCGGTAAGAGGGAAATAAGGGGAGAGACTACGATCAGGCTAGGTAAAAGAAAATGAGCGAAAAAATGTAGTGGAAAACCTGAAAAAAGGGCACAACAAACAGGTATGAGCCTCACAACAGCTTTACATTTTAACTCTCTGCAGTCTAAAATTTTCTAAAAAATATTAAAAGGTGATTTTATAATTAAATTAAATAGGTCTCATGAAATATGTCTGATCTTATTAATTATATATATTAACTTTTTAAGCTTTGAATGGGCTATCATATATTTTAAAAATATTTTATTTACTTTTCTTTTTTTTGTCTAAATACATAAAATAATATTTGATTAATTTTTTCATTATAAAAGTTTTAAAATTTATTAAAATTTGTCACAAACCGTAGTAATTCTATGAAAAATAAAAGGTGGTGATTTTTTATTTTTTTTTGGAGGAACCCATTTTATTAAATTTGCCACAAATGCAGCATACAAGTTATATTTTTATAAAAATCATGAATATGGGGGGGGGGGGGGGTTGCACTTTTTATATTTGTCTAATTTTTTTTTATAGTAGAGAAGCGAGGCAAAAATTTGGCTAAATTTTTCATTAAAAAATACCAATATATTAAACTATGTTAGTGTTAAAGATATTTAAAATGGTGTATAGGTTTTTGTTTGATGAACATATTAATTCTTCAAAAACAGAATCAAAATTTTTTAAATATTGTAATGTACCGTTTATACTTCTGCTTAGTGTAGCTAAAATTAAAATGAATCAGTAACTGCTTGCAGAATTTTATTTTATTTCCTAGTACCCGTGCGAATTCCTGTATATTTTTGTCTAAATTCTCATTTGACACAGGCTGACAAACTTGAATATTATCTCTAAGCACACTCAACAGATGTTATTTCTGAAATCTAGTTTGCAGTTTTGTGTAATAGATAATTAGAACTTGTAAAGGATTTGATTTCCACATAAGAATAGGTAGCATGCTACTTCATCACAGAACAATCACTCTAAACCTATTGTTTTAAAATAATGCGACTATTCTTTGAAGGTTTTTACTATCAAGAGATTAGAGAAAAACTTACCATGCCACTGCTGGTGTTTAGACTTTTGGTTAAAATGTTCCAAGATAATCAATCCTGTAACTTGATAACACAGTAAAAGGGTGGAGTCGAGGCTTTAAATTTATGATGAATTAGGAATTAAGGTTTCTGGTTTCATTATCTGTATCATATGTTTCTCACTCATTTCATTGTCATCAGAGTCTCTGAACTGTTTATAAATACATTTTGTTGTCATACTGTATTGTTAATATCTACTTATATTAGTGACAAGTGATAGTGGTAACTAAAACTAAATATATTTGTTTTGAATGCAATATAAACAAATTAAGAAGATGATTCATAGCAGTTACATATTAAAAGAAAAATATTCAGGTAATGAAAAGATATAAACTTGACATTAATTATAACTACACAAGTTCCCTTGGGAGTTGTCAGCCACTTTTAGACAATATTAATCTTGCATAGCACTATAAATATAACACATTTATGTATTATAAATTTATTAAAAATCAATAAAAATCAACTACAATCTTTAAATGTATGTATAACTTTATATTATATACCTGAGACAAGTAAAATGATACAAATATCACTTCCTGTTTTATATAAAGAATTTCAAAAGTCGGGAAATGATAATTAAAGTTAAGCTTACTTATTAACGACATTTCCATTTATATCCAAAATAGAATAAATTCCATGATCAGAGGACATTTCTTCTAAAAACAAATAATTTCCTCATAATTTGCAAAATCAAAATGATTTGACATTATTAACAGTAATTACTTTATTGTCACCTTAAGATTATTTATGTTGTCGGAAATCCACAATGTTTTGGAGGGCTCCTCTGCGCAGAATGCATTTTTAATAGTAATTTTTTAAGCTAGCCAAACCAAGAAAAAAATATAATAGCTTATTTTAAAAAAAAATAGTTGACTTAAAAAAAATAATTAATTTACCATCCACAAAGCCCTGAGTACTAATATGTACCAATCCTCTATAGTCGGATACATTTTATTAATACTATTTTTACATTTGGTAAAGTGAAATATTCTCTTAATACTTATTTGATCTCATCAGTTGGTGGCCAGGAGAAATATGTCATCCAAGACATGTTCCATTAAACATTCAAGAAAAAGCTCATCAAGTGGGAGAATTCCCAGTAAGATTTTTTGGATCCCATGATTACTATTGGATTCATCGTGGGAGGTAATACTTTTACTCTCTTTAGATACAAATATTTATTTTGCCATATCCTTTTTGGCTTCATTAGTTCGTGAAAACGTCATGCTACCTTTGGTTGTATTGGGGCATAATATTTCTAAAATAATATACTTAGTTATTAAATGGTGAATATCACCAGAGTATTAAATAGAATTTTCTAATAAAGGTCATCAGGTCATTTAATGAATAAACATTGCAATAAAGAAATGTTAAAAGAACCATACAAACTTCAATTACCTAACTGAATAGATAACATAAACACACTTTTGGAATTTTTTTCGTGAATAATATAATTTTTCTTTGTGGTTGGCAGAGTAAACAAAAAACATTTTGCTTTCAATTTCAAGACTTTCCTTTGCTGAAAATATTTTTATATTTTTACATATCTTACATTTTTATTAAGGATTTTGCTTTAAAATTCAAATATGCTTTAAAATTTAATTATTACAAAAGGTTTAAACATTTACTGAGTCTTAAATATAATCTTCTTTGTTTACATTATAGGGTTTTTCTGTTTCAAGATGGGGACAAAGGGAGCAAAGAAGGTTCTTCAAGAGGATTGTTCAAAATATACATGAAGGGTGTCAAAGAAGCAACTGAAGCTTTTAAGCTATGGACAGCTGCAAAAGCTAAGAAGGTTGAACAAGAACAAGAGCGTAATGATAAGAAACCAGCTCCTTATAAATTTATCAAGGTTAGATTGCAAAACAAAATAAATTGGACCACCAAAATATCACTTAGACTAAAAAAAAATTAAAGACATTAACACTAAGGCATGCTATTTCAGGTGCAACAGATAATAAATGTTAGTAAAAAAACGAGCATATCAAAATTGTTGAATCACATGTTTATTGAAATATTTTCTGACATTTAAAAAAAAAAATTCTTCAACAGAGCAGTGTTCCAATTGGAAATGTTCAGATTCACAAAGCAGAATTATCTGAAATACCCAGATGCGAGTGCAAACCAGACCAAACAGATGCATGCACCACTGATTGTCTGAACAGGATGATGATGTATGAGTGTCACCCTGCAGTATGTCCAGCCGGTGAAAAGTGCAACAATCAGCGATTTCAGAAACGTCAGTATCCAGAACTTGAGCCTTTTAAGAGTGAGACTCGTGGATGGGGTTTAAGATGCTTAGAGGACATAAAAAAGGTTTTTAGATTTTCTATATACACCATACTTTTCATATTCTTTTGCTAATTGTTTTACTGAAATATGATGTACACAGTTGCGAACACTATATTAATGCTGGCATTTCAAAATCATGACAAAAGCTAATTACAATATTCAGATGATGATACCACCATAAAACATCCTGAATGGAAAGTATTATATTGTGCCCCACATAATGTTACATTAGGTAATTTTTTTATGTGGCACTCTTAAGAAACATATCCTTCTAGTGGTGTTTTAGGGAAAAAATGAGAGGATTTTTCTGTCATGCAGATTTTATGTGAGAAAACTGTCTTGTCTCTCAGACCAGCCCAACTTAGGGCTGCTTTTGCAAGAAAACACGTTTTCTCTATGGGTAAAGTTTGAATGAAGATGCCCATATTTGGCTAATATCATTCCCAACTACTGGTGTTTGACAGAAAATGTGCACCAGCTGGAAGTAGATCTCTAGTAGAAATTTCTGTCACTAAATCATTTCAGGGACAGTTTGTACAGGAATATGTCGGGGATGTAATTGATGAGGAGGAGTGCAAAAGAAGAATAGAGCAAGCTCATGAAGATAACATAACAAACTTTTATATGCTCACTATGGATAAAAATAGGTATGCTTTTGATTACCATTTAAAAATTTGTTCTTAGCTTATCTTTTTAGACCTATATTATTTAATAGAGGCTGAAGATAAATAATATAACAAATATATAATTGAATTATTATTTTTGCATCAGTGATGTATTTATTGCAAAATTTAACATTTTTCAATAGAGTCATTGATGCTGGCCCCAAAGGTAACTATTCTCGGTTCATGAATCATAGTTGTTGCCCTAATCTAGAAACCCAGAAGTGGACAGTTAATGGAGACATTAGAGTTGGGCTTTTTGCTCTTTGCAATATCCTGAAAGGTTAGTTTTTGTTTTTTTTGTTCCAATGGGTTTTATTCAAATTATTGCTGATGGAAAAATACATATATTTATTATAGATTTAAATATTTAAAGTTCTAGAATAAAAACACTTGAAAAATGCTTAACAGAAATGATACCAGATGGAATCATCACTGGATAGTTACAGTATTAAACACAGATAAGCTTTAAAAAATTGTTACAACTAACTGTGATCCTGCTTTAAATTAATGGCAAAGGACAACATTCTCTTAACTGTTGCGGAACCAGCACTTAAGTGTATATTTAAAACTGTTGATCTGCTTTGCTTTCTAGTTAGCTAGTCAATAATTAGTTGAATTTGGGGGGGGTAGAAGCTAATTTTATAAAATAAAATAACTTTGAAACTGAAAGATAGACCTTTAGGGGAATTTACATAAGAAATGATGTTTCTGTAACCATTTTCAAATACCCTTCATAGAAATCATTTTTTTTTCTTCTCATTTCAGGATCAGAGCTGACTTTTAACTATAACTTAGAGTGTCTTGGAAATGAGAAAAAAGCCTGTGCCTGTGGCTCAGATAACTGCAGTGGATTTCTGGGAGTTCGACCTAAGGTAAGAAGGTTCTGAATAAATATTGAAGACGTGATCTGCTGAAAATGGTAAATTGTTTTAAGCACATTTTAAAACCAATAGTGTTCATTTTGAAAATAAAACAAAGCATTTTAGGTAATGATTTTTGCAAAGAAAAACTCTTTCAGCCAAATTTTGCATTTCTCACAATTTATGGAATTATACAATGCTTCTTATTAGTTTCATTTGCGTATTATTATATAATAAATTTAGAAGCTTTTCATTATTTACATACACTTGGGGTTTGTGCGCAATAAAAATAAATCAGCTTAATAAATTCATTTTAAAAAAAAATTAATTTTGCGAAATAAAAATTTGTGCAGGCATTTTTCTGCCAGCCCTGCACTGTTATTAAAATATACCCATTTTCTGATTATCTGTATAATTTTCTGATACATTTTGGAAAATGAGAACAGTTTATACACTTGGCCTGCTTTTTTCTTTAAACCTGGCGGTCTCCTCTACTCTAAGGTTTTCGCATTCAGTGAATCTTAGTGGAATGAAAGGAATTAAATTAATTTGCAACTAAAAATATTGAAATTTATCTTGAACTGGATTTTGTTCCTGGAAATAGTATTGAGTTTAACCTGTTTTTTTGTAAGTTCATTAAAGATAAATTGTAAGCCATTTTTTATGCATTTTAATCTTTTATAAGAGCTTTAATGCAATGAAAATAGTTAATATTTGGGTCTAAGAGACTTTAAATAGGGCACAAAGTTCTTGTTACTGAATGTTTTTAACTCCTGCATATTTTAGTCTTTTTAGGTTATTTCCAATTAACATCATTTTGCTGATTAATGATTCCCTTAAAATACTGAAATAATTATAAATCATATTTTTATTCTTGTAATGACTTGTGACACTGACCCGAAAATCATTATTTAATTATATTTATATGTTGAAAGTAGATTTTTTCTGTAATAAGGCCTGCAAACTTCATTTTACTTTAATTAAAGGAATGAAATGAACCACCCCAAAGTTTTAAGTTCTAAATTAATATTTTTTTCCATATTTTAAAAAAGATTTTTTAATGTAAAATAATGTGTGATGGTTTAATTTTAGACCAATTTAAAAAACATTTGTTGGTTAAATTTCAGACTGCTGCTGCCGCAGCTAATGAAAAAAAGGCAAAAGAGCCTAAAAAGAAACGTAGAAAGAAAAAACTAGATCCTCGAAAGGAACATGAAGATGATTGCTTTCGTTGTGGCGAAGGTGGTGAGCTTGTGATGTGTGATAAAGGCAACTGCCCTAAAGTATACCATCTTCAGTGTCTTAAACTTACCAAACCACCATCAGGTAAAAGCTTGTAAATAGAAACATAGAAATAAACTTCCTTTGTATATCTGCTAATTTTTTTCGAAAACCTTTAAAAATTTTAAGCTTAAGAGTATAGTTTACTTTTTTTATTTGATGGGATGAAACGAAAAGTTTTAATAGGAGGAAAACATACATTTTTAAACCTGCATCCTGTTAATTGAAAAAAATCAAAACTTGATTTGGATCTTATAATATGTAATACATTTGATATAAATAATATTTTCATCTCTTTATCAAGTTTACTTTGAGAAAGTACAAAAATATACACCCTAAAATTGTGTAAATTGTCAGTAGTGTTTCCTTGTACTAATCTAGGTAAATGGCAGTGTCCTTGGCATCATTGTGATGAATGTGGCAAACTGGCTGTCAGCAAATGCACTGAATGTCCGAATTCCTATTGCTCTGCGCACATTCAAGGAAATATATTTAAATCAGAGGGTTTGGATATATGCAGTGATCACACAGAATTATTAGAAAATACATCTCAGCCATTGGAGAATGCAAATGTCATTGGCAGAAATGGAACAAAATCAGAGGTAGATTCAAATTCAAGTGAAAGTGATGGGTTAGAATTATCAAACAATGAGAAACCCAAAATTGAAAATAATTTGGAAAACAGTATGAATGTTGCATGTACTGAGGAATTAATGGAGAAGAATAGTGCCGATTGTAATTTAGAAGTGAAGAGTGAATTTAATATGAAGCACAAAGTCGATGAGATGGTTGGTGAAAAAAACATAATCGCTACTCAGGAACTCAATATAGAAGCTTACAAACCGGTGTTTAATGCCAAGCCTTTGGGGTTGAACACCATTTCATCACCAGGGCCCTCACCTATTAGACCAACAGCAACACCATCAGTAGCTGAAATATCTAAACAAACAAAGGGCAATGTAACCCGCACAAAAGCAAGATACAGAGCAAGGCTAAGTCAAACGAAAGTCTCAAAATCTAAGAATCCCAGTATTGCAAATGTTGCGTCAGAAAATCCTCAGTCTGCTGTGGTTAACAATGACAGTGATGACAATGATAGTATTTCTGATCTTGTCATTGACATCCCATGATTACACAAATAAATAGTACATAATCTCTGTAAATGTTTGCTTTTAGACTTATCCCATTAGTAAAGATGAGTAAACGATAACACATAACTTATACCTACAACTTTTAAACAAAACTGGTCTGTTTAGAATTATTAAGAAACCGATTTAAAGACAAATAAGACAAATTTAAGTCTGGCTATAATAAAATACTTCTGCAGGATCAGCGGTGACCATGTTGGAATATGTTTAAAAATCAATATTTATTTTATGTTGTTTGTGTATATTTGCAAATTAAATTGGATTCGCTCATGGATAAATTTTTCACAAGGGAAATATATACTTCCTATTTCTCCTATGGCCTTTTAAGAATATTATTTTAGCATCAATTATTTTGTATGTCATGTATAACAAAATGTATATCTTTCCTAATCTGTAAAGAATTTTTTTACCACATTATATGCTTAAAAATAGATGAACAGACTTACTATAAAAACATCCTGGTAGTGATTGAGAGCAATGTATTATAAATTTAATATGTTTTTGTTAATTGTTAAATTATGAGTAATGAGCAATTATTCTGTTTGAAAAAATGTACATAAAAAGTATATGAGGAAAGTATTGCCTATTGATTAAAAAAACCTATACAGTACTCTTTAACCCCAAAAGGAGCAGTCATATTTATATAATATAATGCAGAAAGTGTTTATACACTCTCTAGGGAGAACATATTTTATAAGCATGCCTTTCATTTTTAAGTCTAATTTACTATGATTTTATGCATACATTTCTATGATCTTGTTGTAGCCAAACTTTTCAAGATTGTTTTGTGATAGAAAAAAAATATTGAATAACAATAATACATCTTTTTATTACATTTTTCCCTATCCATCGTTATCTAGTAGAGTGTTGATTTTCCAAACTACTGGGGGTATTTTGGATAGAAAATGTTTGGTTAACCGAAATATTGCGCTAAAGAAGTTAGTGCTAAGACTAAGAGAACAAAACATTCTTAACCTGGTATAAGTAGAGTTTTTCTAAACCCTTAAAATTTTTTTTTTTTTTTTCTCTTTTGGCCCACTTTAACTTTTAACATTTTATTTAGCTCAGTTTCCCCCTTCCCTATTGATATTATTAAAAACAGCTCTTTTTACATACCATTCATGGTCCTTATCAAAATTTTTGTTACCCCCAAAATATGCAGGCTTATGTTAAGAAACATTTGCATTATTGCACAATGTAAATCATGCTAATTTGAAGTCAAAGATCGGGAAGGCCTGGATTTTTTTCTGCAAGAAGTCTTTTTCCAAAAAATAGATGTTTGGTGTTTCAAATAAAATTTGAGGTCACAATAGATCTTACCTGTATTGTACAACAGATGTATGAATAGTTTTCCGTTTTTACATGGACACAAAATCCATGTACATTGCATACAATATTATTAATAATAGACAGGGGCTGTGAGGATAATAGCATGGGGGAAAATCAATGCTATACTGTAGTTCTGTTTGTATAAAACTGTGCATATTTCCAAGCTCTTCATTATCAATTTCTCCTTCACTCATAAAAATTATTTAATCTGCTGAGGTCATATTGTGTGCATTTGTAATCAAAGAGGGGAAACATAAAAAAGAAACAACAAGCTTTAAACACATTTAAAATGAATAGCTCCAGTATATAATAAGTTTTGAAAGTTGTTGTATACCAGGAAGACCTAATGAAACATGGCACAGAGCAATGACAGATACCTTTTGAAAATAAACCTGACCCTGCAGAAGCCCTGCCATGGTTGAAGCCGTTACAGAATTGGGCTAGATTCCGCTAGATGAATAATGAATACTAAGAGTAAATAAATTAAACATTCCATTTTTGTTGATATCAATTCTACTGTTTGGTGAATAATAAATAGAAAATGGTTTATTACACAATTATCAAACTGCATCCTATCAGATTTAAGTATTAGCTGACTGTAGAGAAGGAAGGATAGTTCGATTTTTGAAATTTTTTTAATTGGCAAAGATGTATTCTGTAAAGACAAATAAGTGTTACATGTAAAGCAGGAAAATTTGTGAAGCCAGAAAATGTGTGGTAGCACTGAGCTCATTTTATATAAATTGTAGCCTGTTCAATAGTAAATGTGTGGATCAACAAAAAAATTAATTTTTAAGTCATTATTTAATGCAGAGTTGCTGGCCACAGCAAAAAACAATGCCGATGCTTGGTGCGCAGAGGAATAATTTCTTTAAGGCGTTGTGTTTGATAGTATAAATTAAGTTTGAAATATTCAGATGTCGAAAACACTGCTTTAGCTATTTGATAGCCTTATAATCTTAATTTGAATATGACAGGGTAAGTGAATAAAAAATTAATTGTGGGTATGAGGTACTGTAATGAATTAATTTTGTTTTGAGTTTTAACTTGCTTTACTTTTTTTTTTACTGTGAAAGTTAAAGACTTGTGTAAGACTTCTTTGTAAATCTTAAACAATATATGCTGCTCAACTTCATTATTGGAAATGTTCATTTTTACTTTTCTGAGATTCACTCTTTGAGTGCAAATTAACTGTAATGGATAAACATTCTAATGATAATGCTGTACTTTTTAAAATTGTACAATCTGTAAAACTCTTTTTCCCAACATACAATTTATTTTTGGAATTGGTTTATCTAATTTTGGCATTTAACAGGATGTATCTTGGCTGTAACCTTAATGGGTAAGTCAGACTTTCCAAATTTAACAGGAAATGCTTGAAACCCAATAACTTTAAATGAATTTTTAAAACATCATGAGATAGAAAATGTACTTTCCACTAAAGCAATTTTAAGAATAAATTTTACAAGTCATGGGGAAGGCCTAGATCTTTATAAATGAAAATTAAAAAAAACAAAACAAAAAATGGACTTGCTGTTTTAGAGTTTCAGTTTCAGGGATGATATAAGAATTAATTTGTTGTATTTGCATTGCAGTGGAATTGATTGTATATTATTATTAGTAGACACCTTGAAGCTTAATTTTGCATGACATTAATTAGCAAATGAGATTTTACAGTACATTGGAGGAAACAAGAAATGTTGAGTTTGAATCTCACATATTTTTGACTATGCAAGTGAAAAGGAATGTGTTTATTAGATATGCATGACATAAGATTCATTTGTAACCACTAAAAATCCTCCAAATACATTTTATCACAGATAATAGCAATTGGACTTAGGTGTTTATTTGTCACAAATGGTAAGATGAAAGTGAAAGCAAGTATGTCTGTTGTTCTTGTATCCGGTACACGAAAAAGAAAAAGTGTGACTTAAATATGCCTGTAACTGTAATGTTATATAGTTTATGTAGCTAATTACTAATACAGTACTGTTAAAATCATGTTATCTATGTGCCTTCTTCATACTATTAGTGTTCAATTACATTTGTTTGATAATTTTGTGAAACTAGAATTATCTTAAGAGCATAATCATTTTCTTCTTTTAGCACTTATTATTATAATTAAGAACAATTTTTAAATTTTTATCATAATCATATCACAATTATGAAAACTTACAAATAAGAGAATACAACTCAAGTAATATTAGATTATGAATTTTATTAAACTTGAAACAAATTCAAGAAAATAAAAAAAATAATAATTGGTGCTGTAGATTTATCTATTACACAAAATATTTTTAAATACATGGTATCAACTAGCCAGTTATCAGAAGGGGAAAGATTCAATTATAAATACTGGGTACTGGTATTGGGAAAAGGTGATATTCTTATCTTTGGATTGCAAATGAAATCTATTTTTAGTACCAGTAAAACTGGTTTAAATATAAATATATCAACTCCAGTTATGTTCCTATTCCAATTCTAAGTAAACAAAACCAAAGCATATTACTTTCAAGCAAAGTGTTGAATTAATGGCAGAGGAAAAAAACCCAAAAGACTTAAACATTACAAATCTTCCATGTTATTTAACAAAAATGACACACCCATGATCATGAAGTAATATAAAAGTTAAAACATAATAATTCAAATGAAACAATAGCTCTTCACTATGCTCTTATACTATTATTTTCTTTAGTCATAAATCATGGAATGTTATTTTTTAAAAAGTGGATTCAAAAGCAAAACTGTACAGTCCAGAATTGCAAATCTATAATTATTAAAAAAAAAAAATAAGGAAAGTGTAATCGTCCCGAACTTTGCCGAGCAGTTACAAAAAAGACATAACAGACAATTAGGAAAGTTATAACAAGTACTTCAAGTACATAACATTTATATTTACACATTTTTTTAAAATGTGAAGAACTGGAGTGCTTTTTAATTTTTAAAAGTGATGCTTTTACTTTTTTTGTAGAAAGATGTAAATTAACTTTATTTTAAATTGATGTAGATTTTTAAAAGCATTGGCACACAATCTCATTTTTTATGGATTTCAAATAAGACAAATTAAGTTACAATTTACTGCACTGGTAACAATAAATAATCAACATAATTATTAAAGATAATTTTCAATGCAATTATCAATAACTTTTTTTAAAATTTTAAAAACAATGTACTGCAGTGGTTCTCAACTTTCCTAATGCCAGGACCCTTTAATACAGTTCCTCACGCTGTGGCAACCCCCTATCACAAAATTATTTTCCTTTCTAGTTCATAACTGTAGAGTATGTGTTTTCCGATGGTCTTAGGCGACCCCAGGGAAAGGGTTGTTCGACCCCCAAGAGGGTCGCGACCCACAGGTTGAGAACTACTGATTACTGATATACAGTTAAGGTGCATCACTATTTTAAAACCAAATAGTTGAAAATGAAAAACTATGTGTTCTTCTGTATAAAAATAATGTGGGTCCCCCGCAAATCTTTAAAAGTACATAGGCAATAAACATTTATATACTCATAAGTCATATGAAAACATTAAAGGATTTTAGAAGTAATTTAACTTTAACCCTCGAACTGTGGCATGCATCATTCTGTGGTGTGGAGCTTTTCAGAGCTTTTTGAGTGCCTTTTGAAATTGCATTAAATGACATAGAAATATTGATACAAGACCCCAATAATTATATACTTTTAGAAAGGTAAATGGATGGGGATAAAGTTGGCTATATTGCCCACTACGTAAAAATTTTTTTTTGCTCAGTGTCCTTGACCTTGGAATGCTCAAGAAAAAAAAATCCACAAAATGTCTTGCTTTCAAGGGCTCAAAACATCATTAATTTTTATAGATACACTTAACACACAAATCTTAATGTTGTAGCAAATTCATTTATCTTTCAGAAAATGTATAGTTTGCTAAGGTTTTGATTACAATTAAACCTCTGAAAGCAATTTTAGTAATTTTAGGTCATTTATATAAGAAACTGGGACCACAGCTAAAACAAAAAGGAACTTTGGAACTGATTTGGGTTGTCTATAAAATTTATTAGTTCTGATCTATAATCTGTAGCTTCTGTGACTAAAATTCAGTCGGTCCTTGCCCAACCTCCGGGACTGGCTCGAAGTCTAACAGTAGCCTCAGTAGGCCTACTTCAGTATCACTAAGACTAGTATCAGATTCACGAAAAGAAGAATCTGAAGTGAGATGTCAAGGGGAATGTTAAAATAAGTATCACTTAAATCCTTTCCTAAAAAGCTTAAAAAAATTTATATTTTAGTTCTCGCACTGAATGCCCCGGCCATAGCATCCGCCATTTTAGTTTTTAAAAAAACAGCAATAAAAAATTCAGATTAAAAAGTACTTATTAAGTTATCAAGAAACAGCTTGACCTGGAAGATGATTTAATTATTAATAATAAAAGGACGTGGCTATAATTTTGGTTAAATATTGGATTGGAAGTTGCTATTGGGCCGTGTTTTTTATCGGCCGCCACAGCACAGAACGAGACTATCAGCCGATTTCGTCAGCTGACCACAGTTCGAGGGTTAACAGAGACATATGTAGGCAAATTCACCTATGCTCATACTCCTAAAAAGAAAAAGGAAGCTTTAAATTGTATACTTTTACCAAAATGGATCACATGGTACATAACAAAATTTTAAGCATTCTTTTTTTTAATAATCATGTAAAATACCAGCACATGGACTTCCTGAGCTAACAAAAAAATATATATAATTAAAAGACTAAACACATTAAAAATTAGAAAATAACTTTAAATTTCTTAAAATGCATTAGGGAAAGAAAGTCTGAGCAGAAAGTTTGTAAGACACTCTATGAAGCAAGTATTTGAATTAAATAAAATTAAATGTTTTTTGTTGTTTTATTACTTTTGAAAATATTTTCTGCACAGACTTTCTTTGCGTACAGTAATGCATTTAAGAAATATAAAGTTATTTTCTACTTTCTAGTTTAAACTCATCGGGTTAAAGTGACTTTACTACCAACTCACTACCTTGGTATAAACTAAAATGTAGAATTTAATGAGTGCAGTATTTTTTAACCCTAATCCCTTGCCATTGAGTCCCCGCCTCTGCCAAAATGTCCTGCCCCTAACTCTTCCCCCTCAATCCTACAGTTAAGGCTAATGGTTATTGGAAGCAATGGGGCTGTTCTTTAAATCACCTTTTCTTTTTTTCCCTAACACCCTCCCCCGGACTCAGGTAACTGGAGCTCTTAATTTGTTTCAGCAACTAATCAGGGCGACCTTACACTTACAGGCTAGCGCAAACAAGATAGGATCAACCTTGGCAAGAGGGTCATGTGTGACAAAAAATTTTGATGCTACAAACTTGACGGATTTGTGAGAGGAAAAAAGTCTTTAAAAAAAGAGTTGAACAGGAATGTCAAAATGATTTTTTAAAAAGTCATCTACATTCTAACAAAATTTAGCTCTAAAATTAACTCATTTCAAACATTAATTCATGTGTTGAAACTTTCATAGGCGGCAACAATGTCATTGTTAAAATTTTTTGAAGGAAACCAAATAGTGAATTTCAATTATTAACAAAAAATAAAATACTTCCTTAATGACATTTTCTTTTCAGGAAATCTAAATGAAGCACCATGAAACTTATTCCTCTAGTGGTACAGGCACCATCTTTTAGTTGTTGTTTTGAGTGCTCTGACAGGTATTTAAGTCCGTGTAGAGCTACAACAGAAATGTTACAAGCATATCCATTGCCCACACACAGACTTACAGACGTAAGTGATCTCAGGGTGGTATCAAGTGAGTGGAACAGTGCTGTGAGCCCAACAGGTGTGATTCTTTTGTTATATAAAAAGCTCAAAATCTCAAGGTTGTGAGAGTACTCAGTCAAAGCTAATAAGCCTTGATCTCCAAAACCATTGTTGGATTGACCCTTAGGTGTTAAAGCACAGGAGGAAACACTCAGATTTCGTAAATTAGGACATGACTTTGCCAGGGTCATGATAAATTTGTCAGAGAGACCCACTGCCCCATCAAGTGAAACATATGTTAGATCAGGGCATTCACTAATAATGTCTTGAAGATATTGTCCCATTGCTCTTGAGTATTTTAAAGAAAGCTTTTTAAGGTGGCAGTGTCTCCACTTGACTGGAGAATGTTGAACAGAGTCAGGAAATAACAAGTATGAATTATCTCCAATGCCACTATCATTGTGACTAGAATTTCCAAAATCTTTGTCTGACAGGCGCTTCAATAAATCATGCTGCAGCTCAAACTCATCAGCACTTTCTGTCATATCTATAAACGGAATTTCATCACTTTGGTTAAGTTCTACTTGAATATCAAGTGTCTCTTTTACTTCCGCTTCTAAAGCATTGTTAGGTTGGGTAATGTCATCAGCTGCAGATGAGCTTTGATTCAAATTACAGTCAAATATTAGTTCTTCCAGCTTATGACATTTCCTGACAAGTCCAAGTAGGTATCTATGATCAATTAAGGTATCTTGATAATTGATTTTTTTTAAACACAAGGAATGTTTAGAAAATGCAAACACAGAATCTTTAGTAAGCCGATGGCAGTGAGTAAAATTTACATCTTCAAGGAAAAGACATTCTTCAGCAAGGAATATCACACTGTCGTCATCAATATTTGAAAATGGAGCATGCAGTTTTCGCAAATCTTTACATTTTTCAATAATTCTATGAAGCTCTAGTCCGCATAAAGAATTATCTCTATACAAATACAAATGGGAATCTACACTACAACTGCAAGAGTGCATTGTACATTTCATTTCAAAGACAAGTTCTTGTAACTTTGGGCAGCATTCCCCAATGGCAATGCAATCTTCAAGATGGATGTTTTGACCGCTGACTGTTAGTTGGGTTAGACAAGGAAAAGATGGAAGAACAAAGTTCAGGAAAGGACCTGTCTCTTGTCTTTCTAGCAGTCCCAGCTCTGTAATGTGATGCATGGATGCATTTATGCTATTGAATGCATCAGCTGTTAAACTGGTTGACCAATTAAAAGATAATCTTTTTAATTTAGTACAATATTTGACAAACTGCTGAATGACTTCACCATCTAAATCAGCCAATATTGTGTGTAATTCAACAACTTCAAGCAGCTGACAATGTTTAGGTACCTTTAAGACATTTAATTTATTTATTAACAAATCTGAAATATGATCCCGTGATTTTGAATCATGATAGACCAGCTTCTTCAGGTTTGGTAGATGGATTGCTTCCTTCACAACTTGAGAAAAAGGAATTTTTGTATAAGCCAGATATAGTTCTTCTATGTCTGGATGTGTTGTGAGTGCCACGCGAAGATTACGTGAGGAAACATCACTATATGAATAATCAAGTGACTTTAATTTTTTGAATTTGGCTTTATTTTTATGTTTCCATGCAGATCCAAACAGTTCATAGGTGCCTCCATCTACTGGCAAGTTACTAAATGTTAATCGTTCCAAGCTGTCTTGAATATCACACAAGAGACTTCTGACACCAGTACGAAATTTAAATGTGTCTTGCGAAAATTTGACCAAGCATAGATCCAGATTAGTCCAAAGAGAAGAATCCTTCGACAGGCGATTCCAACGCCAGCAAGTCAAACGGGCTCCAGAAATCAAATCAGGAAAAGAAAGTTTTGAAAAAATATGTAAAAGGACTTCATCTGGCATTTTATCCATGATGCTGTATTAAAATAAAAAATAAAGAAACAAAATGTAAGTTATTACTTTAAAAAAATATATCATTAAAAGGGTTTTAAGATAATGATACCCAAATAATGATTATTTTTAATTTTGAAAATTATGATTATTCATAAAAATCTATTTTAAAAAATGAGGGGTGTTCCTATATAATATTTCAGGTCCCTGCACTGTAAATACAAAAATACAATGCATTATTATTAACCCAGTAACTCTAAAAGTTATCATCTCTTTTTATTTTCTGGCTTTAACCAACAGTGGAAAATCATTTGACAAAAACAAAAGCACAACCTGTTTTTTTATAATTTTTATGAGTGACACAAACTTTGGGATACCATTGGTCCAAATAGAGGAGTTTTTATGTCCTTTCCAAATTAGATCAAATGAATAAAACTGCAATGGCCCAATGGCACATTCATTGTACAGCAAAAAAAAAATAGTTGACACGTTGAGGGATGAGCACCTTGTTAATATTATAATAATAATTATGAATCAGTGAGTCTGAGTGTATTTTCTCAAATTAGACCATACCGAGTGACCATTGACTTCGACCATAGTAAATATTAGTGTCAGTGTCTGACTAAACTGACTTTAATTAACAATTAATTGACCATTTGCTGCTTGATGAAAAACTATCTTGCCTTGGCCCCCTGCTTAGTTTAGTAAATTAACAATAACTTACAGTTACAGAAAGTCAAATCAGATCAGCGAAATATTCCCAATAAATTTTGATGACGATTATATTTTATGAATGATTCACTCACGCAGTTTCAGTTCAGTGGTCAGATAGAAGAGGTAGGTTATGCTTTTCCATCGCCATATTCAATATTCATATTCATATATCATATTCATATATATATCAGATCATATAGTCGCTGTTCTAAAAAAAAATGTTATTAACTATGGTCTATCATAGTCAAAGGTAAATGCAAAATTCTATTACTACGACTCCGGCTAACTTATACTAGTACTGTATTAGTATTAGTATTCGGCCTGTTTCTCACGAATGAAATAGGTAGGCCTGCTAATAGTAATAGCTAATACTGTAGTATCTCTCTAATACTTATAAGTTATACGACTAAGAAAATCCGGTTATAATTTTTAATCTATATTTACTTTTTTCATTATTGATAATCCATAGAGTATCAGTAAAAGGATGAGCATTTAATAAATAAATCATTTAAAGATTTTATAAATTATAATTATCTTTCTTTTTTTTAACATTTGAAATATTTATACAGTCAATGAAAGTCATGTTTTTTTTAAAGAATTTAAAAATAAAAAAATAACTTTTTGTTTTTTTCCGGATACTATAACTTTGAGCAAACAATTCTCTTAGCTACAGCTGTACACCGGAAGTATAAATAAATGGCTACCACCATAACATAATTTGTTAACTACGTTACACTTTCTTACAAGTTGCAATATAAAATATATTTTAAGTTTTCAGAAATCGTTTTTGTTATTTCAAAAAATAAATCAACATTCATTGGTACGTATTAAATGTTATTAATGTCATGTGCAAGAAGATAAAGGTAAGATTTTATCACATATAATATAATATAATAGGGCTAGGCCTATTTACCAATATTATTAATAATAATACAAGTAGTAATACTAGTAATAGCTAATGAAATAAAGTATTCTATAGCTTTTAACCCCTAAAATAAGCTAATTCTCTGTATAATAGGTAATTAAAATCATATTATTAATTATGGATTATCAAAAAAGATAAGAGTAAGACATATATATGTTCTGCATACCATTGACTTTGACCATTGTTTTCTTCAATTCAATATATTATATAAATAATAAATAATAGTCCCCAAGGCCAAGGCTCCATGTATTGTTGTTGCACATCTGAGTATTTTAAAAGTTAACATGGTATGCATTTATAAAGAAATTATGCATTGCATTTTTTTTATCATAGTTTGGGAAAGTAATTTTTGTCAATATTACTTCATATTAAAAAAAATTAAACTAGAAATTTAAAAAAAACTTTTTTATTTAACTATTTATACATTCTCAAAATTTATTTGTTTTCCAACTGCAAGGAAGATTGATGTTATGATATATATAAAATACCCTCAATGCTAAGCGGTGGTTTAAATTTAATTTATTTTAAGACTGACAAAGCAACTCTTTTCCCTGTGTTATAATGATACTAATATTAATACCAGCTCCTGACCCATTGCAGCTTGCCATTAATATTTTACGCCCCCTAGCCAGTTGTATACTACACTGAAACATAAGTTATAATATACACCTTCCAACCTGTGTAGCAAGAATCCAACTAATATTTCATATTATTTAATTGCATAATTTTGCAGTTTCATACAAAAAATAGTCTTTTAAATAATGTTAAAAAATATTTATTAAAAATATTGGAAAAAAAAAAGTTAATTGGTTTCAAAACCATTTATTGGAAATCCAAGCATTGTTTAACATCACCTTAATATATTATATACACATTTCCATTTTGTTTATGTTTAAAACAAAAATTATTATTTTGATTATTTGTAAGTCTGTAAAAAGATTTTTGTTTCATTAGAATTGCCCAAAAAGACATCGTTCAGATGACATTAATTTAATAAATAGAATTAGAAAAAAATATTTTTTAAAATATAGAAAAACAGGTAATTATAATAAAAGTTAATTAAATGCTTAATTTTATTTTAAATGGTATTAATATAATCATATTCCGTGTTTTAACAGAAATATAAAATTTTGAGCCATATGCAAATGGAGCAAATGGAGAAACAAAGTTTGGGTTTGGGACAAGAACCACCCATGTATCTACAGAGACCTTCAGCAAGTCAGTCACAAGATGTGCGCCATTTATTGGCCAAGATTTTTCGGGACCTTTACACACGTGACGTAGTGAGATCAGACTTTGTGAAAAATCTGAAAGTCTCCAAAGGTGGTGATGATCCATATCATGAACAATATGTGGAGAATCTAGAGCAGGTTAGAAATTTATAACTTATAAATAAAATCATATTCTAATATTATTTGGTGCTAAATGTAGTGAACTGCTTAGTGACGTGAAGTTAAAAATAATAATAAAAAAATATATTAGAAAAAATAAAAAAAATTACAACACAACCCTTTTAAGTTTTTTTAATATTTAAATCTTTGTTTACAGTTAATAAAATTGATTGATTTAGAAATCCCATCCACTGCCTAAGACATAATTCTTCAAATTACTTAAAAATGTTCCCTTGACTTATTTTTCTTGACAATTTGAATTCTATATAACATTAAACTGTAGTATATGTTGTTACTTAGGTGCACACTGAGTGGCAGCGCCGCATGGATGAGGCAGCCATGCTTGAGAGACACATCATGCAAGCACAAGCAAAATCTATGTCAGCTGATGAGCGTGCACTTAACAAGGCTTCCGCATCCTGTGTAGAATATTCATCTCTAGGGTTACCACCAGGTAAAGTTATTGTAACTTGAATTTTGAGGTTGTGTGTTAATTTATCAGCTTTCAAAATGGCTTGTTTCTTAAAAAAGTTCAGATAAATAATGCTAATAAAGAGCCATCCATAAATGACTTCACACGTCGGGGGGTGTGGGGGGGTGTGTCACATTTTTGTGATGATGGGGAATGTGAATGAAAATTTAAGTAAAGAATCCACATAGTAACATTAATTACAGACATTTTTAACATTATTCTTTTATATAGCAATTATAATTATTTTATTTTTCAACCATGGTAAATGGGAGAATCAGTACGCATATGCGAGGTCGGAAAAATGGCCTCTGATCAAGTTACAGGCTGCCATGGAGGAGGAGAAAATTGGTGAAGTGACATTGACAGTTGAGAGAATCTATGTCAAAATGTGGAGAAGGGAGTCATAGAATTAGGATTACCGCGTGAAGCGGTATGGAATGAAAAAAATGGTTGACTTGAAAGGGGGGGGGGGGGCCTTAGTAAAGGCTCAAGGGCATGGATTCTTAAAATTTTTGTAGCTCAGCCGACCCACTTTGTTTTAAACATCCTGTCCCCCACCAATGGTACAAATTATTATATTTTAATAAAATTTAAAATATGAAAATAATCATTAATTTAGTTATCGTAGTTTTATTTCTTTTATTAACTTTTTAAAAATTGGTTGCATGGGAAGGGGGGGGGGGGGCCTTAGTAAAGGCTCAAGGGCATGGATTCTTAAAATTTTTGTAGCTCAGCCGACCCACTTTGTTTTAAACATCCTGTCCCCCACCAATGGTACAAATTATTATATTGTAATAAAATTTAAAATATGAAAATAATCATTAATTTAGTTATCGTAGTTTTATTTCTTTTATTAACTTTTATAAACAAGGAAAAAATTACCAATACAAGTAAAACACAAACAAAATTCACCAGAAAAACATTTACTGCTGCTTATCAAAATGCATAAAAACTGTTTTTTTTAAAAGCAGCAACCACTAGCAATTGCAGCAAATAAAATTTTCGTGTCTTCTGCACCTGGTTAAGAACCTCTGATCTCGTAAAATGTTTCTGACACAGTTGCAGTAATTTGATATCCATGAGAGGTGAATTTCTTAAGAGTTTGTAAAAGACAGTAGTGGACACAGGGAATTTTTATTGGGGGGGTTGCAGAGATTTGTGACATATTTGAGGGGGTCTAACTTTTTGTGACGATTTGTGACAGCGGGGGAAGGGTGGTCAAAAATCAGAAGAAAATTTGCGTGACCTCATTTATGGATGGCCCCTAAGTTGATGTGCGTACAACAAATTCTTCTGATGGTGAAATGAACTTATATATTCCATGGAAGTATGTTAAAACAATTTATTTAAAGAACAGGATGTATAGAGTCTATTATTTTCGAGGGATGTTAGAATTTTTCAAATCATTCTTCTTCTCTTCCATGACTGTCAACTAACAAAACTTAAAAATATGGCATGATGTTCAAGTTAAGTCAGTCCAAACACAGAAAAAAGCTTAATAGGGGAAGTGATTGAAAAATAAGTTTTAAATATAATAAAGTTGAGAAGATGCATATAATTAAATGTTAAGATAGTTAATGATATTTTCTCTTGTCTTTTATCATTATGAACACTAAATAAATTAGATGCTAAAATTTAGTTTGTTATAATAAAATATCTTAAGGAAAAAATAAATCATAAGCAAGTTTCTTGCAATATAAATAATACTAAACTCCAGTCATGCTAGAAATGTTAAAATTTCATCAACTTGTTTTTTTTCTTCTACAAATCAGTTCGTACACATTTTCCATCCTGCATTGATACACAGCTATTAAGCCAACACAATCTATTGACACCAAGTGATTATATGCTGCCAGATCCTTTGCCTGTATCTGCTCCCCAAGGTATTTGGCAATTTTTGTGTGAAATCATACTAAATGAAGGCTTACATTTACTGAAAATGTAATTCTATGTTTGTGTCACAACATCAATTTTAAGGAAATTATGTGTCAATTAGAAATAAAAAAGTGTACAGAATGTAAGTGACAAAATGGTTGTTCTTTTGCATTATGTTTTAGTTCAGCATACCAAACTTGTAATAAGATACAATTTTTCCAAAACTGACCTTTTAATTTCAATGTATAATTCATCTTGCAATAAAAAATATATTTTTAAATTAAATCAACTTGTTCATAAATTAAAACTTGCTTTGTTTAAAGTGTACTTTATAGTGTTGACATTGTTATTGCACAAATACCAACTTCTTTTAAAAGTTTATTTTATAATTTTTAAAGAAAATTTATTTCAAAGAAATAATATTATGCAACAAGCAAAACTAGATTAAGTTTTTAAAATATTTATGAAGGAATGAAAACAAAACAAAATATCTTAGAATTTTTCCTAATTTTTATTTTCAAGAAGAAACTTGCTGTGATTGCTGGGAAGAATACATGTGTGAGATTAAGTTCTGAGTTAACTGATTTTTTTTAGTTGGCAACTTTTTGAGGGTTTACCTATTATTGCATCTAATTTCTTTGAATTGAGACAAAATTTATCCATGCATTTATTTATGCAGTTTTCCTAAATAGGATCGTTAGATTTAGATAATTTCATATAAACTTCAATTAATTTTTAAACCAGGATTTAGCTTCTTTACAAAAATGCTTAAATTCACTTTCTAAGAATATGTTAGGGCTAGTGGTACTAATAATACTATTCAGTAAAAGCAAAATAAATATTTTATCATTTTTTACACCTGTTACTTTCACCACTATATTTTCTAAAATATAGTATTCAGTTGTAAGTAGATTTGGTAATAGATTAGGTTGTGGTAGGGCTTAAAATTTTGTTTAACAATTATCTATAGTTTCAAGATATTAAAATAAGATAAATGTAACCAAAGAAATTCTGAAAAATTCAGTCAAGATTTACCATATTTTTACAATTGATTATGGTGTTCTTGATCTTTTTTGACCTGATTTACTTCTGAAACTTAGATGTTAAATGAATTTAATTGCATCAAAAATAATTTGTTTCAAAAAGGTCCACAGTTACCAGATTATGCTCGTGACACTTTAGCTTCTCAGCAACACAGTCGTCCAAACACCCAGCATCAGTTAGAGCCTCCTTCAGCTTGGTCTCCAGGGGACAGTTTTGAGATAGAGACATTAGTATCAGATATAGGTAGAGATGAATATAATTTAGAAAAGCAAGAAACTGTTGATAAACAGGTTTGTAAATAAATTTTTCTTTTTTTTCCATTACATAATTTATAAAATTTTACTACCATTTTCAATATCAATAGGTAGTTAAGTCATACAAAATTATTGTACAGTGTAAAATTTACAATGAAGTTGCTATTAAGTTTTAAAAAAAGTTATAAAGTTTGAGCACTTATTTCTTGCAAGCATACATTTTTCAAAGTTTTACCTTTACCATTTTTTATTTTGAATTCTAGCCTGAATTTCCCCAAAAATATGGATGGAAAGAGTTTTTGTCTGAAGAACAGAGAGAGGCTGACAGAAAAGTTTTAGACTTGCTTCAAGCCAAAGTCAATTATCTGCGAAATCCACGATTTGTTGCTCCAGATGCAACAGATGGTGGTAGGACACTTATTCAACCCAAAAAGAGAAAGACAAAAGATTCTGAACTTCAAATTAAACCAAAACAGTATGATTATTTAATATCCTACCCTGAATGAAATTATGGTTTAAGTTAATAAATAACTCTTCTTACAAATTATTTATCACAAACTATTTCACTACTTACATATTCTTTCACATTACCAAAAAGTTAATTACACACATGATCTGTTTAAAAAGAAACAAAGCTAAAACATAAGAAAAATAACAAAATATCTATCAAAATCAGTAAACGCTTTTTTAGTTATAATATTTTAAACTATGTTATATCAGAAAACAAGCAAGCCCTGTTGTATTTGTGCCTTTTCCTTCTGTTGTTGAGTTTAACAATTATAAAGTTGGAGAAGTTTATGAGGTAAGCTACCACCTATAAGTAAACATAAAATATTTTTAAATTTGAGGCATGATTATTTAAATCTTATTTAAAAGTCTATTGGTCTTTAAGGCAATTTTCATAGAAAGTTTGACCATACATTTGGCAACATATACAATTTTTAAATTGTTATCTTTGATTATAAATTTTCTTTATTTCAACACTTTTATTACATAAGTTACATTAACGTTACAAGTATGTTTAATGTTGTATTAAAAGCTTGAAAATTTTTTTTCTTTAAAGATAACTCTAGAGTTGAAAAACATGTCTGCTGTTATGCGCCAGTGTCGTGTATTACCTCCCTCAAGTAACATTTTCTCAATAGGTCTAGGTAAGATGAGCATGTTAGAAACTGGTTTCACAAGAGGCCTTGAACGAATCTCACAATGAAATAACATAACAATTTCAAATCCAACTTCAAATAACATTCAGCCCTTAAATGACAATATTTAAAAGAGCTTATTTAAAATATATATGCATATTTTTCAGGCCAGTTCCCTGGAGAAAATGGACTGGTTGCCCCTGGTATGAGTTGCAGATATGACATAAGATTTGCACCCAATTCCTTGAAGGACTATGAAGACTTAATCACAGTACAAACCCAAGCATCTGAACCAATAATTATTCCATTGAGAGCCTATCGCCCCCCACCTGTTTTGACTTGTAAGCTCAATGTATAAAAACTCAACTTGAGAATACCATTATGTTAAAATATATAGAAAGAAAAGTCACCTAAAATAAATTAGCTTGAAATTTTAAAATTAATGTAATAATAATTCAATACAAGGTTAAGTCAGTTTAGAAAATTTAAGAATGAATGGAAAAAAATGCATGAATGTTTTTGTTTTTTTAAATAAGGAAATTTAGGTGAAAAATTTCTTAGCCGTTAAGAAACAAAATTAGGAATACATTCTGATAAACTTGACCAGAATAAGAACCAAAATCCCTATGTTCTCCAATCCAAGATGATGCCCTACCCACTGCTTAAGACTTTAGGCTCAATGTGTTGAAAATTATGTTAAACTATCAAACAATCACAAACTCGCTCATGTCAAATGTAATCAAAGCTTTAAATAAAGTTTTCATATGTAAATATGTTTCAGAGTTATATACATATGAAAAATCTGATTTATGAGGTTTAGTGTTTGTTATTTTCATTATTTTTAAAACAGTGCCTAAGTCGGTTGATCTTGGCTATTGTCTGGTTGGTGGAATCCAGATTACCCATGTCCTAGTAAAAAATGTAGGTGGCCCTGGTCGCTTCTGCTTGATGCCAAGGAATAAATGGCCAACAACCAGTATTAGGGTAAGATATGAATTAGTTACAAGATTGAATCTGCTGCTGCTGAGAAGTTTTGGCACTTGTAAATGACAGGTTAAATGAGAGGGAATTTTTAAATTATAATATTATTTCAGACTGTGCTGCCTACCAATTCAGCAAGGCCCAGCATCAAATGTTCCCCATTTGAAATAATCCCAGCTACTTTTGAACTAGGACATGGAAAGACCACGGTATTAGAAGTTGTATTCAGTCCACAAGTCTCCAAATCATATGTCCAAGAAATGACCATTGCATGTGACAACTGCCACACTTCACACTTCAAACTTCAAGGTTGGTGGTGCTAGCTTATTTTCAAGTAATTAGCTGTGTAAAGACACAAATCTCATGAATGTTTACAGTTTTACTTCAATCTTATTTTTCCACTTTACATGAAGATGAATACGTAAAACAATGACATACTCAAACTTTCTGATATTGCTTCCTGCGTTCCTTTATTATTCACTCAGAACTGTTATTTTAATGTTGTTAATAGTTGAAGATGGATAGCCAAGTATGTTTGGCTGGTGGTGTTCCTTTACTATTCACTCAGAACTGTTATTTTAATTTTGTTAATAGGTGAAGGGCAGATAGCCAAAGTAGGTTTGGCTGGTGTTGAAATGGGCCTTTCAGAACCACTGGTTGGAGAATTTAATGACATCTCAGCTAAACACCTGGTTAGATTTGATGACCTGAATCCATACACATACACAGAGATGAATGTTTCAGTAAAAAATTTCACGTAAGTTTTAGCTGTTGTCAATAAAAAATTCAATGTTCTAATTGTTAATAGACAAGATCCAGAACAAAAATTACAGAGGAGATCATGACAAAGAAAAGAGAAGGATCTAATAGTTACAGAAATACATTTCAATACATTTAGATTTATTATAAAACGTATACTTCTAGCTCTCTAAGATTAAACTTACCATTATGAATATATTATTAATGTCTTTAAACTGTACTATTTCTTACCCAATTATCAGGAGAGTTGAACTTCCTTATCACTGGATGATCTATAAACCAATCAACAAAGCAAACCAAAATTGTGATGAGAAAATGAATGAGCTTGCATCTTCTGCACCTGCTGAAGATAGAGTCCCAGAATTGAATGGTGTATTCAGCGTGTTTCCGCATGCTGGAGTTCTGAAACCATCTGAAACAACCAACTTCAAATTTACATTTGCACCTCCAAAGGTAGATTTTACTTGTTTTCCAAATCAGTGATCTTAAATAGCTCAGAGCATAGTCTTTCCGTTTATTATGGCGATAGTCCATTGAGATGAGAGGTCTTAAACTCATGGCCATGTAGCCTTTTTTTAGTGGAAAAAAAACTTAACAATGCATTTTGTTTGGTGTGTTGCTGACAGTGAGGGATAGAAAGTGACCTACTAAAGACCATTGATTTGTTTGAATTTTAACCATCTTTGAAACAAAAATGTATTAGTATGAACTAAAAGTTAAATTAATATGTTTTTGATCATCAAATAAGAATTTCAGAACTAGCTGTCAAAATTGAACCACACACTGAGGGTTTGAAAATGAGCTAAATTAGATTCGTTTTCAATAAATGTTATGAATATATTACCAAATTTAATTATGTACAGCCATACAACCATGAAAAAAAGGCTAGCAAATGAAGTTTAATTAAAAATGACCAGGTAATGGACAAAATATGGACAAATATATTTGAAAACTATAACTTTATAGACTCATAATTTTGAAACTAAATTTATGTTCCTAAGCCAAAGCGTCCTTGTGAGCATTTTAATTGAACAAGTGCAAATCCATCTGCCTGGTTGGAAGGCATGCACTCACTTAGTTTTACAACATTGCATTGGAATAGAATTAGGTATTTCCAAGAACTAATATGAATTGTTGTTTTTCCCAGGAGGGGAACTACCACAGTGCTGTTCACATGCTTCTTCAACAAGTGCCATCCATAAAAGAGAGTCAGAGCCTCTTAGCTGATTTAGGAGTAGTACATGAAGAAGAAGAATTGCAATCAAACTTTGGACAAAGTATAATTGATTTTGTCATATTGTTTTGTTTTTTTTAAAAGAAAAAAATTGTTTTTTCACTCAACTGTTTTTTTCTCTCTTTGTTTTAATATATTGCTAATACAAATCCATAAACAAAAAAAATTAAACAAATAAGCTCAGTTTTAACTCAAATACTTAGTTTTTTTCCCCCCAGGAAATAACTATGTTTTAATGTTGACAAGTTTCAAACTTGCCATTAAAATATATCAGATATCTTTTATAAGTGAAGTGGAACCTCAGATAACAAACTTAATCCATTCCGTTGTTTTGTTCTTAAACCAAAACGTTTGCTAACCAAAATAATTTTTTCCATTGCAATCAAGTAATCTGTTCCAGCCTTAGCTTCAACACAAATGTTTGTCTTGCTAACACTATCACCAACCAGCTGCTTTTCACTGATACAAACCAAACAGTTTTCCTACCTCTTCCAGCCTCATAGAGCTTTTTTTTCCCTAACACAGTCACTCCATTAGCTGCATCTGCTGACTTTATTGCTTTATTGCCTTGTTCTTTTGAGTTGTACAGAATTGTCATTTATGCCATATTGTATTGCTTGGCGATGTCGGAAAGACAAAAGCCATTATCATGTTATAACATAATTTCTTTCTTTAACAAATAACTTACTATTAATAACACCTTTCTCATTAGGTACCATAAAGAACTCTAAAATAACCCAAAAAGTGCTAAAATAACAAGAAGTTGTGTTTTTGAACATAGCACTCTGACAAACGATGTTTACTACAATCATGCCAAAACACTGCTGATCCTGTGCATATGTTTGTACCCAAAGGATTGTTCATTAACTGAGACAAAAATTGATAAAAAATCTTGTTCGTTAATCAATCTGTTAGTTAAATAGAACATTTGCTATTGGAGGTTCCACTGTAATTTATAAGGCATACTTGATATCTAGTAAATATAGTTTATATATAAATGGAAATGTCATGAATTTATGTTAGCATATAAAGAAGAGATTTCTGTATAAATTCTTGTTTTTGTTATAAAATATGAATTTCTAGCCTTTTGTTTAAATAAAATTTTATTAATTCAGGTTTTTTAACATATTTTAAATTAAATCCTTGCAGTATAAATGTGTATTTATCAGTGTTTACTTTGGAGGGTGTACAAAAATATTTCACTTTCACCAGCACTTTCATATAGAGATGTCACAGGTCTACAGATGGAAGTAAAAGGAAAATGTTTACCATTAAATGTAGTACTCCACCCATATGGCATCTTCATTCAATCAAGCTGTCTCATTGGTTCAAGTGTGAAAAGGCTTTTTACTGTAAGCTTACTGATTTTTAGCATTAGACATGAAAAAAAAATTATTTAAAAATTGGACATTATTTTCTATATTTTAATTTAATTATTTCCTATTAAAACGTCCAACTTCCATTATGTTCCATTGTGCTTCCTTCCTCAATTTGAGGTGGTTTCAAAATAGGCTTCTGATGCATGACTCAGTCGATGCCTTTAGTGCACACAGAGTCTTATTAGGAGTGAGAGTTTGGAGATTGCATATCAAATTGATAATGGCCTTTTGGAGAGGTTCTAAATTTATTCAACATCAAATAATAACAAATTTAATTCTTTTATTGCAACCATCTCTAAAACATCTTCTGATGTGTTAGGATCAAACAACAAAATATTAAGAAATATATTTGCAAGCATTTAAGACTAAACTTTTCAGCTTGCTATATCACACCTCTTAACACCAATAGCATTTCCCCCATTCAGGAGAGTGCATAGAGGAAACTTAAAATAAAAATATGAGCAATTATATTATCTTAGTTGATGTGGATTTAACTGTTGTATTTCCATCACACATGTAATAATGAGGTGATGGTATCAAAAGATATATTTTTTGTTCTCCAGCTCTTGTCAAATCAGAACATTTTATGTTATTTTCAGATGGCCAATCACAGTTACTCAACTATAGCTTTTCAATGGGAAACGTACACAAAGAGTTACATGATAGAAGTGGAGCCTCCATTAGGAGAGCTGGGTAAGTGCAACCTTTTGAGCATTTTAAAGAGTTTAGTGTAAGCTCATTCAATTATACACTCTATTTTTAAATGTCTTATCAGCTATCAAATTAATAGTTAATAATAATAATAATAATAATTTTCATTTCATAACACGCTTCATCCCCAAAGGCTCGAAGCGCGGTACAAAGTCAACAAAAAACAAATCTATAATTTACCACATTTAAAATAAACGCAACACTACAAAAACTAATTACAAGCATACAATGGCGAAGTCTTTCTAGCCATTTCAACCATAAGCAACACAGCCATTATTCATTAAATGGAAAATAAGGTAGACAATCATCCCAGAAGGTGTTTGCGAAATAGATGTGTCTTTAAATCGGTTTTAAAGGACTCCAGTGTCTGGTTGTTTCTTAGATCGAATTTTTAAATGAATTTCATGATTTTCTACATAAAAGTAAAACAAAATATATATAAGAATGAGCTAGGGTCATATAATGCCAAAAGGGAGATACTATTTAAGTACGTTCGGCTTCCTAAAAACAATCAATGTTATTTTCTATTATTTTACAGAAATCAAATAAATTTGAATGTGCAAAAAATATTTTAAATCCCCTTTTATTCTAGTAAAAGTTTAAGTACTATTGCTATAAATTACAAATGCATTTAAAGTATCAACTAAGAAAATATTTAAAGCATTTTTTATGTGTTTAAAAGTTATGAAAAAATTTAAAAAATTAAAAAAATCATGATCAAAGAATTACACCCTAATCACATTTATCGGGAAAACTCAAACATCAGTCGTTTTTAGTGCGTCTTTTAGTGTGTTGTTAATATTGTGAAATAAAATTTTAAATTAATTTGTTCTAAATAATCACTTATTTAATAGCTTATTTCTCCAAAACTCTTAGGTTTCTTTTAATTTAATAACCGCGAGTGACAAAAATGATACTGTATTTTCCCTTCTTAAAAGTAAAATTAATAAATACAATTGATTGCTTTTTAAATTGTTAATAAAACACACACACATTTCTGCTGTGTATATTAACATTAAAAAGTTTTGCCTTTTGTTATTCCAAAAATATACATTTATTAAAATTATAACGTAATAAAAACTAACCTTTAAATATAATTATAATAAGAAAATGTGGTTTAAGTCAAACAGTGCAGTGCAACTCCATAGCCAAATAGCATTGACTAATCAACTTATAACTAAAACAAAAAAGAACGAACCATATGAAGTGCAAATTATTTTAGTTTGGGTATAGAAGGTACTACATTAACTACAAAATTTTGTCCCTGGCGTACAGCTGACAAGATGGCTCATCACAGGAATATCTCAAGGAACTTATTTATAAACATGTACTTCTAAAGAGCCTGCGGTCAACACAGTACTTACTGAGTGTTCCTAGAGTGGATGAACACAGAAAAAAGTCTTACGGAGTGCGCTCTTTTGAAGCGATAGCACCAAAATTATGGAACAGTTTACCTCAATCTTTGAGGGGAATTTTAAATGATAATAAATCATTTAAGAAACAATTAAAAACTTTTTTTTCAATAGATTTCGGAGGACCAGAGCGCAGTGAGCATGCTAAAGTGGCATGGATACCAGCGCGATATAAATATCAAATCCAATCAAACAATCCGGTAGAAGATTTTTCTAAATTTATTTAAATCTGGGTGGGGGAGGGGTTGGTTACTTTGCCCCAGGCAGCACAAGATAGGTCTCAAAATAAAGTAATGAATTTGATAAATAATTAACCTTTTTGGGAACATACATTTCAGAGGTAGGAAATAGGATGTGTAAATTTTCACGTGGATGACAATATATTTAAACTCTATGGTATTACATTTGGGAAGAAAGAGATGTTACATTCTCTTTTTACAAATATGTGTATGTTTATTTTGCTCAAGGCAGAACAAGATACATCTCAAAATAAAGGAATGGTTTGATGAATAATTAATTTTCTTGGGTAAATACATGTCGGAGGTAGGAAATAAGATGTGTACATTTTTACGTGGATGAAAATATAGTTGACTCCTTTGGTATTACATTTGTGAAAAAGAGATGTTACATTCTCTTTTCACAAATACGGGTATGTTCATTTTGCCCAAGGCAGCACAAAATACGTCTCAAAATAAAGGAATGATTTTGAAGAATGATTTTGAAAAATAATTAATTTTTTTGGGTAAATACATGTCGGAGGTAGGAAATAGGATGTATACATTTTCACGTGGGTGACGATAGTTGACTACTATGGTATTACATATGTGAAAAAAGAGATGTTACTCTCTCTTTTTACAAATATACATACATTAACCAGTTAAGAAGATCAACGGCGTTAACAAATCTTGGGTACATTTATATAAGTATAACCATGAATATCAAAACTCAATCATTTTACACTCTTGAAAAATTAATTTTAAAAAATAGGGATGGGCTAATATTTACTGTCAAAAAAATTAAAATACATTTTTGTTTTTACTTTGCAAAAAGTAAGTTGATTTGTATTTTATGAGATTAAACATTTAAATTAAAAAAAAAGCAACAAGACTCAAATCTATTATAGACGTGAAAAAAAGTTGCGCGATTCTTCTTTAGATAAAAGAATTCTTTGTTTTACAATTTTCTGATAATATATAATTTAAAAAAAAAAAGGCAAAAAATGTGTTTAAATTTTTGCTGAAGATATCAATATATATCGAATTCCTCTAACATAAAATATTTTTATATCATATATAGAGTTTTTGGTGCAAATTTGAGGCAAGTTTTTAAAACACTTTTAGAGAAAAAAAGTTGTTATTCAAGGGCACGAAAAAGGGTACAAAACTAAAGTATTTTTCTAACGTAGTTATTGTCCCTCAATTAACTTCTTTAGTGACAAAAATGATATAATTAGTAATAATTTAGACCATCTAATTTAAGGTCATGTTTAGAGGGGGGAAAAAGTAGTTTAGGAGCGTGAAAAGGAGTAGGGTAGGCCTATAATATATGGCAGATAAATTCTTCTCAAAATGTAATGATGTTAGAAACGTAAATATTATTACATTTTTAAAGTTATGAATTGTGATGAGTTTTTGCAATAGCAGTTAGAAATTATCGCATAGAATCTACCATTATTATCCTGATAACATCGTGTCATTTATTCTAGTATATATATATATGGCATCCTTCCGTCTTTGCAAGACGATGGAGTAGCTATGTACACTTCAACAGATAGGTCATGAGACTGGTCCTGGAATGACAGTGAAACAAAACATGTCCAGCTTTAAAAACTATATTGAGTCGGCTTATTTTTCTTCCATTAGACCCAGGTATGGCTATGGACTTGGAGATAAGCATTACTGGAGTGGAACCAGGTCCTATTGACCATACACTATTGTGTCATGTTGTCCACATGGAAAAGCCTTTACATCTTCGTATACAAGCAGAGTTCAAAGTGAGTTTTTGACAGTGTTGAAAATGAAATATCTGAACACATTACATTTTTAAATGATTCTAAAATGTAGGCCTGGTAAACTACAGAAATTATGATTAATAGGCCCATGTTTATTGTCTTCTTATGAATTTTTCTTTTTTTTTTTATCTATTTTTTTTAAAGGGTCCAGAAATAAAAATTCTTCAACCTACAGTTAACTTTGGCTTGGTGCGTGTGGGTCAGTCAGAATCCAGAGAAATCACCATCCTCAACAGTTCTGCCATGAAGATCAAGTTTTCTATTTCTGAGTCCAGAGACAATGAAATAGAAAATAATGATAAAATGGTAGGTACCAAAGTTAATAATTTTCTTCTTATTATTTTAAGTAACTCAACAGCTCATTCAACACATTGAAACAATATTTCCATATATATAGCATGGAAAAGACCAACATCTGTTTTTAGAGCAACACAGTTCTATAACTTTTTAAGTTAGACACATAGAAAAATTTAGAAAATAAAAGATAATGTTGCACCATATTGTTCAGTTTGTGATGATTGTTTCAGATTCCAAGTGGCGTGAAATTTGTTGAGGTGAGTGGGGAAATCCCACCATTAGAAAGGAAAACTGTCCAGCTGATCTTTTCACCCAGTAAGGCTCAAAATTTGAAGAGTGTTTGCAAAGTGCAATGTGATCAAGGGGAAACATGGTAAAAAAAATGATGTGCCTCGATGTATTAATACATCATTTCAATGTTATCCTGCAAATAGTTGATTAAAAATCACAAGTAGATATCAAAATAAGGATATTGCCTTGATACAGGGTGTTAGCAATTATTATATTATTTGATCAGAAAGAAAAAAAATGGTTGCTAAAGGTGAATCAGTAACATAGAAATAATCCAATGAGTCCATTATAATAACTATGGTAAATGTTACATTAGAATTTTTTAAATAATAAATAAAGCAAAGTATTTCCCTCTAGTCTAATGATGCAACTCTCTCTTGATCCTCAGTTTTGTGGCATTGTATGGTGAGGCCCAGAATCCAATTGTGTGCTTCCTGGAGTGTGATCAAGTTCTTTCTGAGGTTTTCTTAGATGTCCCAAAAGTGTTTAATGTTGTGCTTCACAATCAGACCTTACTTCCTACAGTCTTCAAGTGGGGACAGGTTTGTTGTGATCTCATTTTACTGAACCTGCTATTTAATTAGATTTTTTCCCTCTATTTTTGTTGGTTTAATATTCATTGCTATTCAATCCCAAACTTTGATACAGCAATGTTTCTTTAAGTTATTTAAACTTGTATAAATCTTGCTTTGGTTAAATGAATTGTGGATTTACCCTGCATCTAGCATTGATTAAATATATCTAAAACTTTATTATTTGGGATACATTTGCAAGATAGGTCTCTAAAAATAGAATTCCAATGATTCTCATGCTGTTTTCCATGTTACTCTTCAGCAGCACTGCTACTAAAATGTTAAAAAAATGTAATTGAAGATCTTTACTGAGGGGATTTTTATATTATATATTATATATTATTATGACTATTATTATTATTGTTCATCCTTCGCATGTAAGGATGACAAAGGCTATATTCAACTTGAGTAGTAACTTTGACTTGCGCTGTATTTTGTATAAAGTGATTGGGAGTTTCTCAATGTGTCAACCTCATCCTTTGATCCAATGGCAGGACTTGGTCAATATGATTGGGAGAAAGGCCAGGATGCAGAGGATGACCAGCATTGTTTCTTGTGTCTCCTTGTGCTTCTTATGTCTTCCATTTCACAAGAGTTGATGGAATATTCATTGTGTTAAAGTCAGACCCCTTGTTGGACTCTTTCTCTGGGTTTGAAACTCAGAATTTGTCTTCCCTTAGATGGGTTGCCATCCAAAGTTAACAAATGCCATCTTCCTTACATAATAATAATAATAATAAGGGGTCTTATATAGCGCCGTACCCCAGCCTAGGGCTGGGCTCACCGCGCTGTACATAAAAATTTTATCAAAAGAGACATAATCATGACATTAAAATAAAATACAATTATGAAATAAAGAACAGCAAAAAAAAAAAAAATGTATATTCACCCACCCCAACACATAACTTTTACAAGGCAAACCATGGACGGCAGCCAGCAAGATCGTTTATCGGTCAGAGGAGGGGAATCACTCAGGGTAGTATTTGGCATACTTCCCTAGTCTACACTTTTGTCAACATTCGTACATATTTAAAAAAATAAAATTACCCTAACAATGAGAAGACCATCATGTTCCACTAGTTTCTTATTGTGTCCTCTAAAAATATTCACCATAAAGCCTAGCATTCACCACCCAACCTAACTGTCACTAATTGTCCATTTTACATAAAAAGGAGATTATGTTGTTATTACTATATTTTAAAATGATTTATTTCATGTAACGTTGATAGAGCTAGCCTTGAAGTGAGATCCTAACTGCATTAAAATCAACTCTAATTTTCCTGACTAAGGTGGAAGGCTTTCAAAAGAACTTGTGTGAAGTTGAGGTGGAGAAAAAAGAAGGGAAGATACTCAGTTGGGAGCAAAAATCTATTGCTATCAGATTCACACCTTTCAGTGCTGTAAGTTTGCACATTTTTAAATCAGAAGCTCATTACAATTACAATGTGAAGATTATTTTAAGGTTGAACATGTAAGTATTTATCTTGAATTCTGTTGATTTAAAAAAACAGCCACATATTTTAATATACATCCAATGTATCATCTTCAACTGTGTTATTATTATGTTACGGTAAGGCCACCTGACTAAGTTTAATACACCTAACATCTACTCTAACTCATATCATCTAACCTCATCGTCTACATTGGCAGATCCAGTTCAATGAAGTTCAAGTGCCCTGTTTTATTGAAGGACAAGAAGAACCACTATACATCAACATCAGGTGTGAGGTCAAAACATTGCAGGTGACATACAAGACATCAACAGACAGAAGCCAAGTTAGGTATGGAAAAAAAAAATAATAATATATCTTGCATGAGCAAATATTAGTAAATGTTATTTATAGCTTCCGCTTTGTGGAAATTTATATATAATTTAATTGTACCATTAAACTGACTGCAACAGTAAGTATTAATTTCAAATTGATGCAAATTACCTGAATATTAAATGTCAATAATTTTAACTAATAAGAAATAGAGTTAGTGTTATTTAAATAGCGGGTTTCGACAATTGTTGGTTTTGATTATCACTTCATTTTCACAGCACATTCTTAACACACACTTAGCAATGTTTCCAGTGCAACACACAACTTCTGTCAGGGTGTGATTGGAGTGGTCCATTTGCTACCCAAACTGAAATGTTAAATTTTTTTTTAAAAATTCCTGTATGAGATGAAAATGTTAACTGTATTTACATCTTTCTACAAAATCAAGGGATGACATGTCACTGAACTTTGGAGACAATGTAAGACTTGGTGAGTGTGTGACCAGGTACATTCATGTCTACAACCAGACTGCCATCAGAGCCTCCTTCGAGGTGGAAGCTGATTACTTTGTGGCAACGCTACCTGCACCCCCAGACATGAATGAAAACTACACAGCTCAAAGGTAGTCTCAAACAGTTGGGTGTGGGATTTCAGGCACATAATCTCTCCTTGTTTAAAAAAAAGAACATTGAGGACCATTGGAGCTATTTATTTACATGGTGACTGTATGATAATTCTTCACAAGGGTTAAAGCCAAAATAAAATATTGTGCAACACACTGATATTGAAGACACATATTTTTTTGGTATTAGACACCTTACTTTATGTTCCATACTTTTTTTAGACTGGCCAGTCCTATGATTTGAGCCAATACAACTCCCCCCCCCCCCCAAAACAAAAAAAAAAAAAAAAAAAATTATTGTGCAACACACTGATATTGAAGACACATATTTTTTTGGTATTAGACACCTTACTTTATGTTCCATACTTTTTTTAGACTGGCCAGTCCTATGATTTGAGCCAATACAACCCCCCCCCCCCCAAAAAAAAAAAAAAAAAAACAAACAAAAAAAACCCAAAAACAAACAACACAACTGGTTGCTTCTTGTTAAGGAATGATTTGTGATGCCCCAAATGTCACCCTTATAATCATTGAACTACTATTCAATAGCTGGCTGTTAAAGCATCTTGTGCTTGTATTATGTTGAATAGTTCACTGGTTCCTTATTGATACATGTTAGTGACAATAGATTTCTTTTTTCTTAACATGAATATTCTGAAATAATTCATCTATCAATTTTTTTGTTCATCCTTCTCTTTGTCTAGCAATAGAAGAAACTTGCTGACAAGAACCCCAAACATTGCAGACCCTTTGAGCAAGGCTCCTCAGAAACTTAAAGCAGGTAAGGGTTCATCTGACTCATTGCAACAGTATTTCACTGTGCCACCTAAATGCACAAATATTAGATCTTAGGATTAGTCAATATGCCGCATTAGTTAAAGAGGAAATTTAAATGAAAATCAATCTTTATTAAAAGCATTCCTGTCTTCCTGCCATATTTTTTATTAGCCCTTCAGTCCAGTAATCACAATCCAAAATGGGCACAAAAATAAATAAATAAATTAAAGTAATGAGACATTTTCTGAATACTTGAATGAACATTTTCTGAATACTTGAACTTTTTCTGAATACTTGAACATTTTTTAAATACTTGAAATTTTTCTGAATACTTGAATTTTTTCTGAATACTTGAACATTTTCTGAATACTTGAACATTTTCATTAAAGATTTCAACAAACTTGTCCTGAGAGAGGGTAAAGGTGCAGCATTTGTCATACAGCCAGTCACTGGTCACCTGCAGCCATTTGGGGAGCAGATTATTGAGGTCACGGCCTACAATGACATGTGGGGAACTTACAAGGACAAACTTCTGATTAAGGTTAGACTTCAGATTATGCTACAAATAATGAAAGTTGCTATCAGATCAGGTTAAAAGTAATAACATGAATCAACAAAGAGTTGAGGGTTGAAATGTTGTTGTTAAGTAGCCATGATTATTGTGATCAGAGCTGCTAGATGACAGGCTCTAAGATAAAAATAATATGGAGCCTTGATTTTTACTTTTGATTTCCAGGGGGGTAGGCATGAATTATTCAGCTTTTATACTTTTGATTCCCAGAGGTAGACATGAATTATTCATGTTTTTAATTTTGATTCCCAGAGGTAGGCATGAATTATTCATGTTTTTGAAAATTAAAAGTTATTTTAAACCTTATGTTATTGTGGAACATCTGATTTTCTTTACAGGTGGGAGATCTTGAGCCGGGAGTTATCGACATGATAATGACTGTTATTGGCTGTCCCTTAAGTTTCCAGATGACCATTGGTCAGCCTGATCAAAAGCCAATAGCCAGGTAAAGTGTTTCTGGATATTCAATAATGTGATTATTTTTGGATCAGAAGAATTTCACAATGATCTGCTCTTACATGTAGTTTTTTTCCCCACTTAAATTAATAGAGCAAAATAATCATAAAACCATGTCATTTTCTGCCAGATTTGGATGTCACATGTCTGGAGGAGCTCCAACAACCAGGAAACTTAAAATAAATAATTCCAGTCCTCTTGGTAAGGGATTACATAACTTCAGAATACATTGGCCTCTATTTTTGTTTCAATATTTTTTCTTATTTAAGCTCATTCAATGCATAAGTTGTGCGAATTTCACAAATGGTCTGATGCCTAATACTTGATGACCAACGATCATGTCCTTGAGTAGGACTCTTTCCCATTGAGCTATTTCGATAAGTGTAGTAATAATCTAGTTGCCATTCAGTCTTTTAATACTTGCTATTTTTTAAAACTTTGTAATCATATTTTACGGCAGATATCCGCATTGACTGGCAGGGATTTGGTGTATCAGATGACTCGGAGAAGCTGATTGATTTCATCACCTGTTTTGGTAGAAGTTTTCCACGTGTGGAACAAAATGAAAGTAGTGAAGTCAGTGCAGAGGAGGGAGCTGGTAACTGGAATAATTCATTAAATTATTATTTTTTTACTCATCATTTAACAGATATTTTAAAAACTCTTTGAAAATAAAATAAAAATTCTGCACCCATGGCTATAGAGATAATAAAAGGGGGGGAGGGAGAAAATCATAAAATTATTATTTTATCACAAAGGAAATTTAAATATCGAAACTTTTAACGTTAGCAGCAAATGATACTACAATGTATTATATTACACCATAGTACATAAGATTGCAAATGTAAGTAAATGCAGAGTAAAATGTTATCAAATCATAGAGTTTACCTAGGACAGATCTAACATAATAGATTTTATATCTACCTAAATAGAGTTTAGATCTACCTATAACAGATCTCAATTATTACAATGAATTTGAAATTATTTAGGAAACAAATAAATAGTTTAATGTGATTTTTAACAAAAGTCTTCCATTTAGAAACTGCTGATGTTGATGAACTTGGGAAGATTGTGTCTTGTTATTTAAGGCCACATGAAGGAGACCCAATGTTACAACCTTTTAGTTTCCACCCCAAGCAGATGGTAAAAAGGATTGACATATACAATTTTATATGTTTATCATGAATGTAGATATTGTTACTTTTAAAAAAAAATACTAGAGCTTACAGATTAGCCTTTTATTCACATAAGTATAAAAAATGTTAGAGAAAACATTAGATAAAATAGTTTATAAGATAATTAACAGCATCTGCTTAAGTTAAGGAGTCTTGTTAATGTGTTGCAAGACTTGTTGGGTCTGTTTGAATCATCACTTCTGCTGCATTGTCAGGTTGTTCCCGGTTATGGGTTCAGCTATGTGAACTTGACCTTTACACCCTCGCATGCCTCAGAAGTTTTTCAAGAGATGAACATTGAAGGTTTCGGCATAGGCTACTTAAGCCTGGATAATGAGGTTAGATAATGTAGCCTACAAAGTTTGTGGTTTAAATATCTGTTAGGCGAATAAATCATTGTCCATGAGAAATAAACTAGTAGATACTAGAATAAGCCCAATTTTTCAAAGCATAGGTTATAGTGAATTCTTTATGAATATAAAGTACCATGAATAAAATAAGCAAAAATGTTATATATACAGGACAAAGACAAATCAAGAATATCCAGGCTGGAAGGCTACGAAATTGATGCTCTGAAACTTCATTTTACAGCGAGTGTCAAGCCACCATTGTAAGTAATTAATTTTATTCACTGTAAAGGTCTAAGGGATTCTGTATAGACAAAATTCATTGCCTATTTGAACGCAGAATTTTTAGACTGCATTGTACTGGTGAGTTTCTATGGTGATTATGCTTGGAATGTGCCACCCTTCAAAAATGATTAAGCCTTATTAAAAAAAGAGGACTGCCTAATACATTTGAGGCGGGAATTGAAAGCAGCCAAACATTTGAATTTTTCTATTTTGACGATAGACCAAACAAAACGATTTAGGAAATAAATACAAACAAACTTATACAATTTAATGCTGGCATTCTAGTTTAAAATTTAGTCAATCATTTTTTTTTCTCATTCCCTGAAATTAAAAGTTATTGGATTTATAAATATTAATTTGGGAGAATAAAAAATTCAGATAAAGATAAGGTGAACAGTATTATTGCCTGGATTGTTTTTAACCTTTGAACTGTTTTTATGAAGAAGCATCATTAAAACATGTGTTAATGAGGTTGAGAAAAACTCTTGTAGTTAAGTCAGGATGAAATATATATATTTAATCTTCATCTTTTTATCACATTGCTCTAAGTAATCTAAGTTAACTACAATGAATTTTTTCCTGTGACACACATTTTTTCTATTTGATTGACAGGCTCACTATAGAAGAAACAGATGAGGAGGGTTTGGTGTTTAGATCAGCCATGAGTGACATCATGCACAATGGCAAGGTGAGTTAAAAGACTTAGGCACCGTGCATATATTATGTAACACAAAAATATATATGACATTTTGGACCGACCCCCCACCCTTATAATTATAATGTTATATAACATTTCCTAATATATCTAACATTTGTAGCATCACCACCCACCCCCATGATAAAATTGAATAAAGTAAAATAAAAAAACAAGACGCAACAACAAACTTCAAGCACAGTGCCAGATGTAAAAAAAAAAAAAAATTTGCTAATTATTGTGAGCAAAAAATACATTTTAGTTTTTAATAATCATAAACTTGAAAAGCAGAAAATTACAATTAATAAAAAAAAAAAAATCAATTATGAGTATTGTAACAAAACATAGATTAAAAACAAAAAATTAAGAATAATAAAAAAAAATGAAAAAAAAAAAAAAAAAAAAAAAAACCAAAAAAAAAACTTCAAACAAAGGGCCAAAAGAAAAAAAAAAAAAAAATTTGCTAATTATTGTGAGCAAAAAATACATTTTAGTTTTTAATAATCATAAACTTGAAAAGCAGAAAATTACAATTAATAAAAAAAAAAAAATCAATTATGAGTATTGTTACATAACATTGCTCTCAACCAACCCCCTCCCACCCACATAACAAAAGGGTAAACCACCTTCCCCCTTCGCATTATATAATGTGTGCACTGCCCCTCAGAATGTGGGGAGCAAGGAACAGAGTTTCCAAGTAAATACTTGATGGAAGAATTATTAATTTTGTACGAGTTTATTTATTTATCAGTTCTTATCTTATTTACGTAAAAACCTTTCATTGTGTTAGGTTTCTGGAATAGTGTGACATACAATTTTCTTGTTTTAAATGTACAGGTGTCACAGCAGGCTCACAAACTGTCTTCGTTAAAGCTCACCAACGACACATTCACCCCCCTGACATTTAAGCTCAAAGTTAAAGATCCCTTTTTGTTAGTAGACCTTGACCCTTCCATAAGTGTTGAAGCCAGATCGAGTGCTTTTGAAACATCACCTTGTACACTGAATCCAAGGGAACACATTATGGTAGGCTTTCTAAATGTTATGCTTCTTGATAATATGTTGGTTATAATATTAAATAAACATTAAAGGTAAAGACGTTGGTGGTGGTGTTATCATGTAAAGGCCTGTATGTAATTTTTAAAGAAATTTTCTGTAGATAGGAATTAATTTAGAGAGCATGATTGCAATCTTTTCTTTGTTTTTCTTTAAAAAAAAAATCTCTTGTGATTAGGTGAATGTCGCCTTCATAGTATCCAAGGCACTGATAAATGTGATTGCTAGAGCAAGAGCAGACAACTGCCTGGAATTCCAAAAACAACTCAATATTCAATTTGAAAACGGCACTAAACAGGTAAAGGACAATCAGATACAATCTCACTCTCCGGTAATGTAAGATGTTTAGAATTAAAATTTAGATTTTCTTTTGTAGCCCTGTTTCTGTGAATGTAAGTATTGTAAGTGGATTCAATATATATATTTTGACAGTGATCAAAATCTCACTGGAAACCAGTCTATTGGACTGTATTTGTTACAAATCAAAGTATAACTAACAAAAATTGTTGTGTTTTATTATTTTTTAAAAGTAAGAGCCACAAGAAAAACATCATTGCCAATTTAAAAAAAAAATGCAACTGCTATATAACAACACAAGGATCAAGCAGCGTCCCTATGAGATCATTGAGAGCTAATTTTGTATTTACCTTGTGGTTATTGATTTCAGTTGTAATACAATGCATTGATTTTGAATTAGCCAACTATCAAATCCATACAGTATCTGTGTTGTGAGATTGGCTTGTCCATTTTTTCAGAATCAATGTCTCGGACATAGACCAAACACACCACGTTAGGATATGAACTTGTGCTTTTAATTAGAGGAATTAATGGAAGAAGGTATTTGAAAGCTTGAAATTTAAAGCTACCACATACCTTGTTCCACTATTTCCTTCTCACCGCTTGAACACAGTCCTTCATATACTTTCTTTTAATTAGCAATTTAATTTTTTAGTTGAAATGTAAGCAGTGAGATCTAATGTAGGAGGATAAAACATGTGGAGTTGCCAGGTTGGCAATAGTTTTTGAAAGTCAAAAACCTGGCATGTTTTTGAGCCATCAGGTGTGCATACAAACAGGAAAAGAAAACTGGAAAAAAATAGAAGCCAGGATTTTTTGGGGTTCTTCATAAAAATTTATTATTAAGGACATTTATGCTGTCATAGTTTGTGTCACTGAATCTAATTTTCTCATCACTACAACAGAAAGTGCCCCTGCTTGGCATTCTTGCAGTGCCTCAGTTTGAGATCTCTACTGAAGTTGTGGACTTCGGGGTCTGTCTCGTGGGACAGAGACGTCAAATGGAATTTGTCATCACTAACTATACCTCCTCAGACTGTTATTGGAGCATTGAGATAGGTTGGATGGTGCTCTTATATCTTGCCACAAAGAAATATTTGTTTAAAGTCTAATTTGATACTTATTAATGGTTTAAATTGATTTAGTTGCAACTATATTGGATGACGCCATCTTATTTTGGTCATGGGATAAACTTGTTACCAACATTTGTATATCCACAGATAGGTCACACGACTGCTATGACTGTGATGTCTTTGAATTCCAGCCAAGGTTTGGAGTACTAAAAGCCAATGTAAATCATGTCAGCAACAGCAAGACTGTAATCAACGTTTTCTTCAATGCAAGGTAAGGCATACAATATGTCATCACATAAACATAATTCTTTTTTTTGCCTATGACAATAGTCATCAAATAAATTTCATGAATATAATTTTTTATCATACTATTTTGCATAAACGGCGAACCAATATATTTCTGAGAAATTGTTTCCTTGGGACAGGCTAGAAATGTTACCATTATGGAAAGCTTTTTAGCAGCACAAATCCAGAAGAATATTCTTTTCAATGTATCCCTTTAAAGTTTCTTTCATTTTCATAAAATAATAACAACTTTGCCTTTTCTTAGACACAAAGTTTTAAAAGCCCAGGTAAATGTGTTTTAGAGTTATCTAATCTTTGTTCAACTCCAAAACAAGAATAATGTAACCCTAATCTTATTTGACCACAGACACTCTGATGCCTACGACTGCAGGTATGTTGTGACAGGTCACCTGGGCGAAATGATGAGATACATCCATGTTGTTGGCGTTGGATCATATGATGGAAAACATGAGGCCATTTTGAATATTTAATCATTGGAGCCGTATGAAGCATCTTTTTTGATAAATTATAGATCTATATATATATATATATGTATTGTGAAAAAAACAATCTACTTTAAATGAAATGGAGGATTTTCATAAATTATGTTGTTAGAAATTATGATGAAAGATGATATAAGCTCTCCTGACTAGTTGTCAGTGAATAGTTAGGTCTTGACGAAGAAATTATCATTGCAACTAACTAATACAAAACAAAAAAATGATATTGATGCTTTTATATTTTTGTTGTGACCCAAAAAAATGCGACCAAGCAAAGCATGAGCTGACTCAAGCTGAGCATGTCAATATAAAACAGAACATTTATATCAAACAGAAAAAATGAATTATTTATACTTATACTATTTATACATTGTATTGCTTATAAAAAAAAAAGTTCAGATGCTTATTAGACTGGAGAGTTGGATGAGAAATCTTATTTTTTTTGTTGCATATTTTGTAGATGTAGCCTACTTATGGGGGTCATTATGTAATGACTATATTTTTGTTTAGGATATGACCAATTGAAAATTTCTAAGATGCGATACATGCCTTTTGTTCTGACTTCGAAATCCAGGTTTCCATGTGTGTCCAGAGTGTACTGTTTAACTAAGCTAAAAGGTTATCTATTATTCTATGAAACGCTCATATTCTAATTTAATCTGATGTCCTTATGAAATAAAAATGGTGTTTGTTTATGGTACTGCGTCAACTGAACCAAAATTGGACACATTGAAGAAACTGTTCAATTTTGCTAGTTTTTTCCCCTCTGGTTACTTTGATGAAAAAAAAAGTATTCACCCACCAGTTCAAGATGTTACATTCCTTAAAATTTTGAAAAACATATTAACCTTAACATTTGAAAGGCAATTCAATAATAAATAGTTTAAATATATTAGCCTTGGAACCAGAATATTTTGTATATAGGTTACCTTAGCACAGTGGTTCTTAACCTTTTTGGAGGTACCGAACCCCACCAGTTTCATATGCGCATTCACCGAACCCTTCTTTATAGGAAAAATAAAATGTCTTTTTTTTTCCTGATTTTTTTAGACCTCCTCCGAACCCCTGAGACTGACTCACCGAACCCCTGGGGTTCGATCGAACCCAGGTTAAGAACCACTGCCTTAGCATGAAAGTAGTTACTTAATGATAAAATGACTCTTTATCTCTGATAACAGTTCAAAAGAGTTCATTTGATCAGGGTGTAGCCACACATTTTATGCAATTGAATTCTTTTGGTTGTCAGTGGACTCTAAGATGTTTTATTTTAGTTTGAGTTTAAGAAAAATTAAGACATGGATGCATTATATTTTACAGTTAGGTACGCTACCATACCAGATTGAGAACTCCTCAGCCTGTACTATAAATATAGATTTTTTGACAATGATATATTACCATATCTCTCTTTTAAGGGCTGTGTGCATATTGAACATAACAATATTGAACCTCCCCTACCCTTATAACATTATATATTTCCACTGATCACACCTAAATATATATTTCTAGCACACAAC